TCTCTCTCTCTCTGGCATCTCTCTTCTGCTCTCTCTCTCTCTCTCTCTGGCATCTCTCTCTCTCTGGCTCTCTCTCTCTCTCTCTCTGGCATCTCTCTCTCTCTGGCTCTCTCTCTCTCTGGCATCTCTCTCTCTCTGGCATCTCTCTCTCTCTCTCTGGCATCTCTCTCTCTCTCTCTCTCTGGCTCTCTCTCTCTCTCTCTGGCATCTCCTCTCTCTCTGGCATCTCTCTCTCTCTGGCTCTCTCTCTCTCTGGCTCTCTCTCTCTCTGGCTCTCTCTCTCTCTCTCTCTCTCTCTCTGGCATCTCTCTCTCTCTCTGGCATCTCTCTCTCTCTGGCTCTCTCTCTCTCTCTGGCATCTCTCTCTCTCTCTCTCTCTCTCTCTGGCATCTCTCTCTCTCTCTGCTCTCTCTCTCTCTCTGGCTCTCTCTCTCTCTGGCTCTCTCTCTCTCTCTCTCTCTGGCATCTCTCTCTCTCTCTCTGGCTCTCTCTCTCTCTCTGCATCTCTCTCTCTCTGGCATCTCTCTCTCTCTCTGGCCTCTCTCTCTCTCTCTCTGGCATCTCTCTCTCTCTAATGGCATCTCTCTCTCTGGCTCTCTCTCTCTCTCTCTGGCATCTCTCTCTCCTCTGGCATCTCTCTCTCTCTGGCATCTCTCTCTCTCTCTCTCTCTCTCTCTCTCTCTATCTGGCATCTCCTCTCTCTCTGGCATCTCCTCTCTCTCTCTGGCATCTCTCTTCTCTCTCTCTGGCATCTTTCTCTCTCTTCTGGCATCTCTCTCTCTTCTCTGGCCTCTCCCTCTCTCTCTGGCATCTCTCTCTCTCTCTGGCATCTCTCTCTCTCTAGCATCTCTCTTCTCTCTGGCATCTCTCTCTCTCCTCAGGCATCTCTCTCTCTCTCTCTCTCTCTCTCTCTGGCATCTCCCTCCCCTCTCTGGGATCTCTCTCTCTCGGGCATCTCTCTATCTCTCTCGGGCATCTCTCTCTCTCTCTCTCTCTCTCTCTCTGGCATCTCCCTCTCTCTCTGGCATCACTCTCTCTCTCTCTCTCTCTCTCTCTCTGGCATCTCCCCTCCCTCTCTGGCATCTCTCTCTCTCGGGCATCTCTCTCTCTCTCGGGCATCTCTCTCTCTCTCTCTCTCTCTCTCTCTCTGGCATCTCTCTAGCGCCCCCACCTGTCTCCGGATCATCTGCAGCCTTTGCTCTCCTTCCTGTAGCAGACGGTTCAGCAGCTCTGGCTCCTGAACCGAGCGATTGTCTCTGAAAGCGTCGCGCACTCTCCGCACCGCGTACGTCCTGAACAGACGCAATGTCATAAACAGTAGTTCAGTAGTGGTTAGCAACAGGGCCCTTCTGAGAGGAGTTTACATGTTCTCCCCGTGTCTGCGTAGGTTTCCTCCGGGTGCTCCGGTTTCCCCTACCAGTAAAAACAAAAAGTGTGTGTTTGTGAGTGCGACTGTGGCACGGCAGATGGACAATAGCCAACGCAAAAATCCGGAGTCATGTGTTCATTAACATGTACTGTCCCAAACAAAAAAACTATACACAAACACTGCTTTAATGATATGTAGTATGACATTCAGCCAGCAGATAGCGCCAAGTCTGTGTGTGTCTGTGTGTGTCTGTGTGTTTGTGTGTGCCTATGTGTGCCTGTGTGTGTCCTTTCATTTCAGCACAAACGTGAACAGATCCTGCGGTCTCTATGCATATAGTAAGTAAGTAAGTGAGTATAGCCTTACATCTGTGTGTGTTCAGCAGATAAATGAATAACAAGGAAAGCTTTCATAAGGTCACCGTGAACTGAAACCCTCTTATAGAATCCGGTCATCTCAATAGTAAACAAACGCACGCACCTCAGCTTGAGCTCGTTATTCACCATTAACTAATCAATCCTTTATTAAACACAAAACCATCAAACCTGTGGATGTTGCTTTCATTTCTCACCTGTAATTATACGAAGGAAACTTACTGCTCTCACGCAGAAGCATTTTATACAAAGAAACGACCTGAGAACGCGATGAAGCAGCCATAGCCCTGCAGTTAACGATGCAAACGATGCTAACAAGTCTGCGGTCTGTGGTATGAACTGCTGTAGGACCCCGCGTGTTCCTGAAGCGCCTGATTAAAAAACGACTTAATCAGGCGCTTCAGGAGCACTCCCGACTTAAGAGTAATGTTTTAACCACAGGAACTCACAACATGTAACTTAATGTACGTGCCCGTGTATCATTCACCATTTATGTGAGCTTTTATCATAGAGTTCTCATATCATAAACTTCTGGCACATCCTAAAGCGCCCATGACCGCAGTGACTGGAGGTGAGTTCGTCTAAGGCTCATTTCTCAACAAAACGGCACAATATTTGAATAATTTCAAGTTTACGAGTGTTGAACATAAACTTTTCTAGTCGAGCGGTGTTTCCGACAGGCTGTCCCAGGGCCTGCAGGGGTTTTACGGGCAGAGTGTGATCAGAAATGACGTAGTTTCCTGGCACATGTTAGCCGCTCTGCTACATGCTAACAACACAGGGTCATAATCATGGATCTGTTATATTAACGTCATAATGAAAGAATGTGTAGAGTCCACACATTCTTGCTGCCAATGAAAAAGATAACTATTCATTCTAATCCAGTGCCATGCGTACCAAATGTATTTAATAATTTGTCTACACAATAAATAAATGTAATAAGAGCTTCCTTTGACACGAAAAATAATCAAGATAAACATTGGAACAGAGTGTTTGAAATATTCTCTTCTACAAATGTCAAAATATATTCGGTTCAAACGCCAGATGTATATCAAGGTTAAATAGAACTAAGATTCATTGTTGACAGTACATCTGTTAAATATGGCCCCACATGCAGATGAAGCTAGTACTGGGAGAACCTTGGGAGAACTTTTGGAGAACCACGTGGTTGTGTCCTTAGTAAAGTCACTTCAGCCACATTAGAATGGTGTGTGTGAATGGTTGGTGGTGGTCTGAGGGGCAGATGGCACAGAATGGTTGCCTCGTGTGCCCCAGGGCAGCTGTGGCTATAGTAGTAGTTTATCACCACTGTGTAGGGAGTGAATAATGTCCTATTGGGTTGAATTGCGGGAATAGAGTAGATATTAAGAGATCTTTTATTCGTACCACAGTATTATTCACTTATCTTCGTAAGCACAAGATAAGTGAATAATACCTTTATACTAAAATAAAATAAATATCTAACTAGCATTAAAAGAAGCAGTATACAATACCTGTCTTAGGCATTAAGAGGAAAGAAGTTTAAAATCTACAACTTTAGCATGAAGAAGGACAACTTAAGTGCAAAAATCTCTGACTTTAAACAGCTATGCTCCATTTTATGTTATTCTAGTGTAATATTGAGTTGTATGTATGCACGTTCGGACATTTGTGCAGGTGCACGATATATGAGGACAGTGTTCGTTAGTCCTCATTATTTGTTGTATAATCTGACAGAGGCAGGAAAAAAGACCTGTGGAACTTCTCACACAGTGAGGATGAATAAGTCTGTCACTGAAGCTGCTCTCCAGAGCAGAGAGAGTGTCCTGCAGGGGGCGACAGTCATGGTCCAGCATAGATGTTAGTTTGTTCAGGACCCTCCTGTCCCCCACCTGCTGCACCGTGTCCAGGGAACAGCCCAGGACTGAGCTGGACTTCCTGATGACCTTGTCCAGCTTCTTCCTGTCCCTCTCTGTGATGCTGCTGTTCCAGCAGACCACACCGTACAAGAGGCTGATGCCACCACAGAGTCATAGAAGGTCTTCAGGAGTGGCCCCTGCACTCCAAAAGACCTAAGCCTCCTCAGCAGTAGAGCCTCCTCAGCAGAGCCTCCTCAGTAGAGCCTCCTCAGCAGAGCCTCCTCAGCAGAGCCTCCTCAGCAGAGCCTCCTCAGCAGAGCCTCCTCAGCAGAGCCTCCTCAGCAGAGCCTCCTCAGCAGAGCCTCCTCAGCAGAGCCTCCTCAGCAGAGCCTCCTCAGCAGAGCCTCCTCAGCAGAGCCTCCTCAGCAGAGCCTCCTCAGCAGAGCCTCCTCAGCAGAGCCTCCTCAGCAGAGCCTCCTCAGTAGAGCCTCCTCTGAGAGTTGTGTATCACAACTCTCAAAACTTAGAAGTGATGACCCCTCATGTGAAACCAGCTGATCCGTGCTCCTCTGTCTGTGAGCCGCCTCCCCCCACCCTCACCCACCTCCCCCCTGTCCTTGATCTGAACCAGTACTGAACCAGGTCTATCCTTGTCTGAACCAGGTCTATCCTTGGTCTGAACCAGGTCTATCCTTGGTCTGAACCAGGTATGTCCTTGGTCTGAACCAGGTCTATCCTTGGTCTGAACCAGGTCTGTCCTTGTTCTGAACCAGGTCTGTCCTAGGTCTGAACCAGGTCTATCATTGGTCTGAACCAGGTCTATCATTGGTCTGAACCAGGTCTATCCTTGGTCTGAACCAAGTCTGTCCTTGGTCTGAACCAGGTCTATCCTTGGTCTGAACCAGGTCTGTCCTTGGTCTGAACCAGGTCTGTCCTTGGTCTGAACCAGGTCTGTCCTTGGTCTGAACCAGGTCTGTCCTTGGTCTGAACCAGGTCTGTCCTTGGTCTGAACCAGGTCTATCCTTGGTCTGAACCAGGTCTATCCTTGGTCTGAACCAGGTCTATCCTTGGTCTGAACCAGGTCTATCCTTGGTCTGAACCAGGTCTATCCTTGGTCTGAACCAGGTCTATCCTTGGTCTGAACCAGGTCTATCCTTGGTGCTGCGTCGTGAGGATATCCCTGGCTCTGATCTGAACTCACACTGGGACCATCTGCTCTGAGCCGCAGACCGTAACAAAGCCACAAACATGAGAAACTCACTGACTTAGACCAGCTTCAGACCAGCTTCAGACCTGGTTCAGACCTGGTTTGGACTGGGTTCAGACCACCAAACCGCCCAGGGTCTCTCTGTGATCTCTCTCTCTCTGGTCTCTGGTTTCTCTCTTTGGTCTCTCTCTCTCTGGTCTCTCTCTCTGGTCTCTCTCTGGTCTCTCTCTCTGGTCTCCCTCTCTGGTCTCTCTCTGGTCTCCCTCTCTGGTCTCCCTCTCTGGTCTCTTACTCTCTCTGGTCTCTCTCTCGTGTCTCTCTCTCTGGTCTCTCTCTCTGGTCTCTCTCTGGTCTCCCTCTCTGGTCTCTTACTCTCTCTGGTCTCTCTCTCTCTGGCCTCTCTCTTTGGTCTCTCGCTGGTTTCTGCTGCAGTGTCCTCTATTGCTGCAGTAAAATGCTGCAGATTTTGGCTGAATTTGACAAATTGGTGCACACATGCACACACGCGCACGCACACAAGCACACACACGCACGCACACAAACACACACAGACAAACACACGCACAAACAGACACATGCACACTCACATTTGACCTTAACTCTCACAATGAGAGGACCTGACACAATGATTTATACACAACTCTTTTCCAAATGTCTCCAAACAAACTGCAGATGTGTCCAGTCCGACGAGAGACCAGAGAGAGAGAGACCAGAGAGAGAGAGACCAGAGAGAGAGAGACCAGAGAGTGAGACCAGAGAGAGTGAGACCAGAGAGAGAGAGACCAGAGAGTGAGACCAGAGAGAGAGAGACCAGAGAGAGAGAGACCAGAGAGTGAGACCAGAGAGAGTGAGAGCAGAGAGAGTGAGACCAGAGAGAGTGAGAGCAGAGAGAGTGAGAGCAGAGAGAGTGAGACCAGAGAGAGTGAGACCAGAGAGAGTGAGACCAGAGAGAGTGAGAGCAGAGAGAGTGAGAGCAAAGAGAGTGAGAGCAGAGAGAGTGAGAGCAGAGAGAGTGAGAGCAGAGAGAGTGAGAGCAGAGAGAGTGAGAGCAGAGAGAGTGAGAGCAGAGAGAGTGAGAGCAGAGAGAGTGAGAGCAGAGAGAGTGAGAGCAGAGAGAGTGAGAGCAGAGAGAGTGAGAGCAGAGAGAGTGAGAGCAGAGAGAGAGACCAGAGAGTGAGACCAGAGAGAGTGAGACCAGAGAGAGTGAGACCAGAGAGAGTGAGACCAGAGAGAGTGAGACCAGAGAGAGTGAGACCAGAGAGAGTGAGAGCAGAGAGTGAGAGCAGAGAGAGTGAGAGCAGAGAGAGTGAGAGCAGAGAGAGTGAGAGCAGAGAGAGTGAGAGCAGAGAGAGAGAGACCAGAGAGAGTGAGAGCAAAGAGAGTGAGAGCAAAGAGAGTGAGAGCAGAGAGTGAGACCAGAGAGAGTGAGACCAGAGAGAGTGAGACCAGAGAGAGTGAGAGCAGAGAGAGTGAGAGCAGAGAGAGTGAGAGCAGAGAGAGTGAGAGCAGAGAGAGTGAGAGCAGAGAGAGTGAGAGCAGAGAGAGTGAGAGCAGAGAGAGAGAGACCAGAGAGTGAGACCAGAGAGAGAGAGACCAGAGAGAGAGAGACCAGAGAGTGAGACCAGAGAGAGTGAGAGCAGAGAGAGTGAGACCAGAGAGAGTGAGAGCAGAGAGAGTGAGAGCAGAGAGAGTGAGACCAGAGAGAGTGAGACCAGAGAGAGTGAGACCAGAGAGAGTGAGACCAGAGAGAGTGAGAGCAGAGAGAGTGAGAGCAGAGAGAGTGAGAGCAGAGAGAGTGAGAGCAGAGAGAGTGAGAGCAGAGAGAGTGAGAGCAGAGAGAGTGAGAGCAGAGAGAGTGAGAGCAGAGAGAGTGAGAGCAGAGAGAGTGAGAGCAGAGAGAGAGACCAGAGAGAGTGAGACCAGAGAGAGTGAGACCAGAGAGAGTGAGACCAGAGAGAGTGAGACCAGAGAGAGTGAGAGCAGAGAGTGAGAGCAGAGAGAGTGAGAGCAGAGAGAGTGAGAGCAGAGAGAGTGAGAGCAGAGAGAGAGAGACCAGAGAGAGTGAGAGCAAAGAGAGTGAGAGCAAAGAGAGTGAGAGCAGAGAGAGTGAGAGCAGAGAGAGTGAGACCAGAGAGAGTGAGACCAGAGAGAGTGAGAGCAGAGAGAGTGAGAGCAGAGAGAGTGAGAGCAGAGAGAGTGAGAGCAGAGAGAGTGAGAGCAGAGAGAGTGAGAGCAGAGAGAGTGAGAGCAGAGAGAGTGAGAGCAGAGAGTGAGAGCAGAGAGAGTGAGAGCAGAGAGAGTGAGATCAGAGAGAGTGAGAGCAGAGAGAGTGAGAGCAGAGAGAGTGAGAGCAGAGAGAGTGAGAGCAGAGAGAGTGAGAGCAGAGAGAGTGAGACCAGAGAGAGTGAGACCAGAGAGAGTGAGACCAGAGAGAGTGAGACCAGAGAGAGTGAGAGCAGAGAGAGTGAGAGCAGAGAGAGTGAGAGCAAAGAGAGTGAGAGCAAAGAGAGTGAGAGCAGAGAGAGTGAGAGCAGAGAGAGTGAGAGCAGAGAGAGTGAGAGCAGAGAGAGTGAGAGCAGAGAGAGTGAGAGCAGAGAGAGTGAGAGCAGAGAGAGTGAGAGCAGTGAGAGTGAGAGCAGAGAGAGGGAGGCCAGAGAGTGCTCTATCTATGGTCTTGGCACAATTGAGGCTGCAAAAGCTAGAGCTAGGACACAGGTCTGAGTGGCTGCTCCACTAATACGCACTAATACGTTGTGCCATTGACTCATTAATGCGTCAATTGCGTTTTCCGCTATTTTCAGATTCCCAGATGTCTATTGTATCTAATATTAATGGGGATTAGCTTGAGAGCATATTATATGGAGCCAGCAGGTGGCGGCAGCAGCGCTGCCTCTGTATGTTTTGAAAACAGGATGCACTTGTTGTGCCTCTTTTTCTCAGCTTTTTGGTGATTTCAGTAAAACGTCCCTCTACTTCACTGGGGATTACAGGGGAACGAAACAAGCTAAAAATAAAATTTGTTTTGCTGATGAAAGTAGACAGTAGAAAGTAGCTGATGAATCCAGATTCAATGGTCTTAGTACACAATAATCTGTGGGTCTTGAAAAATCAATAAAAATCCTCAGAAACTGTTGGCAATATGGGAGTACCTGTTCTGAAATAGGCTGGCAGGCAATGAGTGAAGATTATTATTAACAAACCACATGGTTTTTCAGGCAGATGGAGGAGTCACCATGAGGCTGCGCCACTTCCTGCTGCCTTCTCTGAAGCCCCGCCCCTTCCCCATCTCGTCCAATCAGCAGAATGCTCACCTGTGCTCCACTGCCTCTCCTGTGATTAGCCAGGATGTGCAGGTGCAGGGGCGGAGCTTCCCACGCGACGACTTCTCAAACGTCACCGCAAAAATCCTGCAGAGAGTCGGAGCAAATCTGCACAACGAGCCACATCACCCGCTGTGGATTATTAAAGAGAGGATCAAAGAGCACTTCTACAGGTGAGAGGCCAGAGAGAGACCAGAGAGTGAGAGAGGCCAGAGAGTGAGAGAGAGGCCAGAGAGTGAGAGAGAGGCCAGAGAGTGAGAGAGAGACCAGAGAGTGAGAGAGGCCAGAGAGTGAGAGAGAGGCCAGAGAGTGAGAGAGAGGCCAGAGAGTGAGAGAGGCCAGAGAGTGAGAGAGAACAGAGAGTGAGAGAGAACAGAGTGAGAGAGACCAGAGAGTGAGAGAGGCCAGAGAGTGAGAGAGAACAGAGAGAGACCAGAGAGTGAGAGAGGCCAGAGTGAGAGAGGCCAGAGAGTGAGAGAGAGGCCAGAGAGTGAGAGAGAGGCCAGAGAGTGAGAGAGAGGCCAGAGAGTGAGAGAGAGGCCAGAGAGTGAGAGAGAGGCCAGAGAGTGAGAGAGAGGCCAGAGAGTGAGAGAGAGGCCAGAGAGTGAGAGAGAGGCCAGAGAGTGAGAGAGAGGCCAGAGAGTGAGAGAGAGGCCAGAGAGTGAGAGAGAGGCCAGAGAGTGAGAGAGAGGCCAGAGAGTGAGAGAGAGGCCAGAGAGTGAGAGAGAGGCCAGAGAGTGAGAGAGAGGCCAGAGAGTGAGAGAGAGGCCAGAGAGTGAGAGAGGCCAGAGAGTGAGAGAGGCCAGAGAGTGAGAGAGGCCAGAGAGTGAGAGAGGCCAGAGAGTGAGAGAGGCCAGAGAGTGAGAGAGGCCAGAGAGTGAGGCCAGAGAGAGAGGCCAGAGAGTGAGACCAGAGAGAGAGACCAGAGAGAGAGACCAGAGAGAGAGACCAGAGAGAGAGACCAGAGAGAGAGACCAGAGAGAGAGACCAGAGAGAGAGACCAGAGAGAGAGACCAGAGAGAGAGACCAGAGAGAGAGAGAGAGGCCAGAGAGTGAGAGAGAGGCCAGAGAGTGAGAGAGAGGCCAGAGAGTGAGAGAGAGGCCAGAGAGTGAGAGAGAGGCCAGAGAGTGAGAGAGAGGCCAGAGAGTGAGAGAGAGGCCAGAGAGTGAGAGAGAGGCCAGAGAGTGAGAGAGAGGCCAGAGAGTGAGAGAGAGGCCAGAGAGTGAGAGAGAGGCCAGAGAGTGAGAGAGAGGCCAGAGAGTGAGAGAGAGGCCAGAGAGTGAGAGAGAGGCCAGAGAGTGAGAGAGGCCAGAGAGTGAGAGAGGCCAGAGAGTGAGAGAGGCCAGAGAGTGAGAGAGGCCAGAGAGTGAGAGAGGCCAGAGAGTGAGAGAGGCCAGAGAGTGAGGCCAGAGAGTGAGGCCAGAGAGTGAGGCCAGAGAGTGAGACCAGAGAGTGAGACCAGAGAGTGAGACCAGAGAGTGAGACCAGAGAGAGAGACCAGAGAGAGAGACCAGAGAGAGAGACCAGAGAGAGAGACCAGAGAGAGAGACCAGAGAGAGAGACCAGAGAGAGAGACCAGAGAGAGAGACCAGAGAGAGAGACCAGAGAGAGAGACCAGAGAGAGAGACCAGAGAGAGAGACCAGAGAGAGACCAGAGAGAGACCAGAGAGAGACCAGAGAGAGACCAGAGAGAGAGACCAGAGAGAGAGACCAGAGAGAGAGACCAGAGAGAGAGACCAGAGAGAGAGACCAGAGAGAGAGACCAGAGAGAGAGACCAGAGAGAGAGACCAGAGAGAGACCAGAGAGAGAGACCAGAGAGAGAGACCAGAGAGAGAGACCAGAGAGAGAGACCAGAGAGAGAGACCAGAGAGAGAGACCAGAGAGAGAGACCAGAGAGAGACCAGAGAGAGAGACCAGAGAGAGAGACCAGAGAGTGAGAGAGAGGCCAGAGAGTGAGAGAGAGGCCAGAGAGTGAGAGAGAGGCCAGAGAGTGAGAGAGAGGCCAGAGAGTGAGAGAGAGGCCAGAGAGTGAGAGAGAGGCCAGAGAGTGAGAGAGAGGCCAGAGAGTGAGAGAGAGGCCAGAGAGTGAGAGAGAGGCCAGAGAGTGAGAGAGAGGCCAGAGAGTGAGAGAGAGGCCAGAGAGTGAGAGAGAGGCCAGAGAGAGAGGCCAGAGAGTGAGGCCAGAGAGGAGGCCAGAGAGTGAGGCCAGAGAGTGAGGCCAGAGAGTGAGGCCAGAGAGTGAGGCCAGAGAGAGAGGGAACAACCAGGGAGGGAAAGACCAGAGCTTGAGAGAGACCAGGGAGTGAGTGAGAGAGACCAGATGGGGAGAGACCAGGATGTGTGTGTTGACGGGTGTTTGTGCTCCAGCTCGTACATGGGCCGGTGGGGGAACCCTCTCTTCTCGGTCCATGATAACCTCAGCCCAGTGGTCAGCGTGGAGCAGAACTTCGACAGGTCAGACTTTAAACACGTTAGTTTGAAACGTTTCAAATCCTCCGGGTCTGATCCGGGTCTGTGCTGTTCTCAGTCTGCTGATCCCTCCTGATCATCCAAGCAGAAAGAGAGGAGACAACTACTACATTAACAGGTGTGAAACTACACACTGGAATCTTCAATAAAGAAATCACTAGAGACTTATTTCTGTGTCTCTCTGGTCTCTCTGGTGTCTCTCTGGTCTCTCTCTGGTCTCTCTGGTGTCTCTCTCTGGTGTCTCTCTCTGGTCTCTCTCTGGTGTCTCTCTCTGGTGTTTCTCTCTGGTCTCTCTCTCTGGTCTCTCTCTGGTGTCTCTCTCTCTGGTATCTCTCTGGTATCTCTCTGGTATCTCTCTCTCTGGTCTCGCTCTCTGGTCTCGCTCTCTGGTCTCTCTCTCTGGTCTCTCTCTCTGGTCTCTCTCTCTGGTCTCTCTCTCTGGTCTCTCTCTCTGGTCTCGCTCTCTGGTCTCTCTCTCTGGTCTCTCTCTCTGGTCTCGCTCTCTGGTTTCTCTCTCTGGTCTCTCTCTCTGGTCTCTCTCTCTGGTCTCGCTCTCTGGTCTCTCTGGTCTCTCTCTCTGGTCTCTCTCTCTGGTCTCGCTCTCTGGTCTCGCTCTCTGGTCTCGCTCTCTGGTCTCTCGCTCTGGTGTCTCTCTGGTCTTCTGTGCAGGTCTACCATGTTGCGCGCGCACACCTCTGCCCACCAGAGGGAGCTGGTGAGACAGGGCCTGGACGCCTTCCTATTGGCTGGAGACGTGTACCGCCGTGATGAGATCGACTCCTCTCACTTCCCTGTGTTTCACCAGATGGAGGGAGTCCGGCTGTTCTCAGACCACGAGGTCCGGACCGTGAATAGACTGACCCCCACCTCCTCTCTCTCCTCTCTCTCCTCTGTCTCTCCTTTCTCTCACCTCCTCTCACCTCCTCTCACCTTCTCACACCTCCTCTCACCTTCTCACACCTCCTCTCTCCTCTCACCCCCTCTCTCTGGGCGGCACGGTGGCTGAGTGGATAGCACTCTCGCCTCTCAGCAAGAAGGTCCTGGGTTCGAATCCCGGTTGGACCAGGGCCTTTCTGAGTGGAGTTTGCATGTTCTCCCCGTGTCTGCGTAGGTTTCCTCCGGGTGCTCCGGTTTCCCCTACCACTAAAAATATGTGCAATAGGTATGGCATGTGCCTCCTGTACTGGCCCCACTCCCAAAAATAACAATTGTAAACTGCTTTGAGACTCCGATGTGCAGTGAAAAGGCGGTATATAAATAAAGATTACTTACTTACTTACTCTCTCCTCTCCTCTCCTCTCTCACCTCCTCATACCTCCTCTCTCCTCTCACCTCCTCTCTCCTCTCCGCTCACCTCCTCTCTCCTCGCACCTCCTCTCTCACCTCCTCACCTTCTCTCTCCTCTCACATCCTCCTTCCTCTCCTCTCATACCTCCTCCCTCCTCTCCTCTCTCACCTCCTCTCTCCTCGCACCTTCTCTCTCCTCTCTCCTCTCCTCTCTCACCTCCTCGCACCTGCTTTCCTCTCCTCTCTCACCTCCTCACACCTCCTCTCTCTCCTCCTCACACCTCTCTCCTCACACATCCTCTCTCTCCTCTCTCTCACCTCCTCTCTCCTCTCTCACCTCCTCTCACCGCCTCTCTCTCCTCTCCTCTCTCACCTCCTCACACCTCCTCTCTCCTCTCCTCTCCTCTCTCCTCTCTCCTCTCTCCTCTCTCACCTCCTCACAGCTCCTCTCACCGCCTCTCTCTCCTCTCCTCTCTCACCTCCTCACACCTCCTCTCTCCTCTCCTCTCTCCTCTCTCCTCTCTCACCTCCTCACAGCTCCTCTCACCGCCTCTCTCACCTCCTCTCTCTCCTCTCCCCTCTCACCTCCTCACACCTCCTCTGTCCTCTTACAGCTCTTCTCATCAGTGGACGGGGGTCAGCACCTCTCTCTCTTTGAGGATTCTGGGAGGAGGTGTGGTCAGAAGCAGGAGGTGCACTCTCTGGAGGCTGTGACTCTGCTGCAGTTCAACCTGAAGAACACTCTGACCAGACTGGTCCACGCGCTGTTCGGACCAGGTACATGTCCTACCAGAAGGACCAGGGAGGGGACCAGGGAGGGGACCAGGGAGACAGAGAGGGGACCAGAGAGGGGTCCAGAGAGGGTCCAGAGAGGGGACCAGGGAGGGGACCAGGGAGGGGACCAGGGAGGGGACCAGGGAGGGTCCAGAGAGGGTCCAGAGAGGGTCCAGAGAGGGTCCAGAGAGGGGACCAGAGAGGGGACCAGAGAGGGGACCAGAGAGGGGACCAGAGAGGGGACCAGAGAGGGGACCAGGGAGGGGACCAGGGAGGGGACCAGGGAGGGGACCAGGGACATGTCCTACCAGAGACATGTCCTACCAGAGTGGGGACCAGAGTGGGGACCAGAGTGGGGACCAGAGTGGGGACCAGAGTGGGGACCAGGAATATGTCCTACCAGAGAGGGGACCAGAGGGGACCAGGGACATGTCCTACCAGAGTGGGGACCAGAGTGGGGACCAGGAATATGTCCTACCAGAGAGGGGACCCGAGAGGGGACCAGAGTGGGGACCAGGAATATGTCCTACCAAGAGAGGGGACCAGGGGAGGGGACCAGGGACCATGTCCTACCAGAGTTGGGGACAGAGTGGGGACAGAGTTGGGACCAGAGAGGGGACCAGAGTCGGGGACCAGGAATATGTCTACAGAGTGGGGACCAGGAGGGTGACCAGGGACATGTCCTACCAGAGTGGGGGACCAGAGTGGGGACCAGATAGTGGGGACCAGAGAGGGGGGACCAGAGAGGCGGACCAGAGAGGGGACCAGGGAGGGGACCAGGGAGGGTGGGACAGGAGGGGACCAGGGACATGGTCCTCCCAGAGTGGGACCAGAGTGGGGACCAGAGTCGAGGGACCGAGTGGGGACCAGGAGTGGGGACCAGGAATATGTGCCTACAGAGACGTGGACCAGGGAGGGACCTGGGACCATGTCCTACAGAGTGGGGTCAGAGTGGGGACCAGGAATATGTCCTCCCAGAGAGGGGACCAGGGAGGGGACCAGAGTGGGGACATGAATATGTCCTTACCAGAGAGCGGGACCAGGGAGGGACCAGGGACATGTACCTACCAGCGTGTTGGATCAGAGTGGGACCGAGTGGGGACCAGGGAATATGTCTACAGAGAGGTGGACCAGAGAGGGGACCCAGAGAGGGGGACCAGAGAGGGGGACCAGAGAGCGGGACCAGGGAAGGGGACCAGGGAGGGGGACCAGGGAGGGGACCAGGGAGGGGACCATGGTACATGAATTCTTGGTTGTCCTGACTACTCCTGTACGAATACTTCTGTACTGCAAATACTCCTGTACTGAATACTTCTGTACTGAATACTCCTGTACTTCCTGTACTTCATGTACTTCATGTACTTTATGTACTTCCTGTACTTCATGTACTTCCTGTACTCAGGCGTGGAGCTGCGCTGGGTGGACTGTCACTTCCCCTTCACTCATCCGTCCTTTGAGTTGGAGGTTCGATTCCAGGAGCAGTGGATGGAGGTGTTGGGCTGCGGGATCATGGAGCAGCAGATCCTGAACTCTGGTAAACACTCTCTGACTGTGACCGTAACGAGCCCGTGACCGTAACGAGCCGAGGAGCTGTGTTTGGGTGAGTGAAGCAGTTACACGCACTGATCTCTCCTTTATTAAGATGTCTCTCTCTAGTCTCTATCTGGTCTCTCACTCTGGTCTCTCTCTGGTGTCTCTCTCTGGTGTCTCTCTCTGGTCTCTCTCTCTGGTGTCTCTCTCTGGTCTCTCTCTGGTCTCTCGCTGGTCTATCTTTGCTCTCTCTCTGGCCTCTCTCTCTGGTTTCTCTCTCTGGTTTCTCTCTCTGGTCTCTCTCTCTGGTCTCTCTCTGCTCTCTCTGGTCTCTCTCTCTGGTCTCTCTCTTTGGTCTCTCTCTCTGGTCTCTCTCTGCTCTCTCTCTCTCTCTCTGCTCTCTCTGGTCTCTCTCTCTGCTCTCTCTCTGGTCTCTCTCTCTGGTCTCTCTCTGGTCTCTCTCTCTGGTCTCTCTCGTGATAGAAACTGTTTTAGAGCAAGGAAATATAGAGATGGGTGGGTGTATTATAGTGTTATTGGTGTGATCTGAAAGTTACGTACCCCAGCTTTAATTCAGGCGAAAACACAGAAATGCTCGCGCTGCAATGCTCATGTAACCGACAGGGGGCGCTGTTGATCCAGCTCTCTTTTTAGAGTAGATCTTGACCCTTTGCAGAAGAGGGTCGAGATGGAGAGAGAGAAGAGAGAGGCAGGAGAGGGGAGAGGGAGAGACAGGGAAGGAGAAAGGAGAGAGAGACAGGGAAGGAGAGAGGAAGAGAGACAGGGAAGGAGAGGAGAGAGAGAGAGAGGGAAGGAGAGGAGAGAGAGACAAGGAAGGAGAGTGGAGAGAGAAAAAGAGGCGGGAGAGGGAGAGACAGGGAAGGAGAGAGGAAGAGACAGGGAAGGAGAGAGGGAGAGACAGGGAAGGAGAGAGGGAGAGACAGGGAAGGAGAGAGGAGAGAGACGGGGAAGGAGAGGGGAGAGAGAGATGGTGAGAGAGTTAAGAAATAGGGGAGAGGAAAGTGGAGAAAGAGGAGGAGAGGAGAGAGTGGAGAAAGAGAGGAGAGATTGGAGAAAGAGAGGAGAGGAGAGGAGAGAGTGGAGAAAGAGAGGAGAGGAGAGAGTGGAGAAAGAGGAGAGGATAGAGTGGAGAAAGAGGGGTTGTATGTTTCAAAGTTACGTACCCCAGCTTTAAAACAAGGGTTAGCTTCTTTTCCTCTTTCTTTCATCTGTTTTAAATCAGGAAGAAGATGAAGGTGTGAGGTCTTCATCAGGATGTCTGCGTCTGGGGTCAGAGGTCGAGAGGCCCGGAGCAGGAAACCTCGTTAGTGTGAATAAGTAATGAGCGTGTGCGGCAGATCAAAGGCAGGGGGCGGGGCCAAGACGTGTGGATGAATATTTAATGAGCTCTGGGATTAGAGCCAGCGCCACCACCTGAGCCTCACTCAAACCAGTCCCAGACCAGTCCCAGGCCTAGAGCCGGTCCAAAGGCAGTGGTAATCCTGGTCTCTAGGGAGGGAGGGAGGGGGGAGAGGGAGGGGGAGAGGGAGGGAGGGAGGGGGAGAGGGATCCTCCTGCCGGAATACGCTTTGAAGGATCTTTTCCCCATAGACAGCAATGCTCAATGATTGAAACGTTCATTTCATTTTTCATTTTTCATTTTTTTATTTATTTCATTCATTTAAAAACAAATGCAACAACAGCATTTAGCATGAATGAAAAGGAGCAGAAAGAAGTAAAAACTTATAATGTCTGCCCCCTATAAACGTTCAAGCACAATTGTATATTACATCACTAAGATTTGGTCTAAAGCAGGACTAAAGCATGTCTAAAGCAGGACTAAAGCAAATCTAAAGAAAGTCTAAATCAGGACTTAAACAGGACTTCTGTATTGATAGGCTCGCAGTCAGAGCAGTTATAAATATTAAACGGAGCAGATAAAAATAGATCTGAGGAAACCCACAGAGTCGTGAGCTGCAACTGTCTGAGAATAGTCCTGTTTCGGTCCTGCTTTAGTCCTGCTTTAGTCCTGCTTTAGTCCTGCTTTAGACCTGTTTTAGACCTGCTTTAGACCTGCTTTAGTCCTGTTTTAGACCTGCTTTAGACCTGCTTTAGACCTGCTTTAGTCCTGCTTTAGACCTGCTTTAGTCCTGCTTTAGTCCTGCTTTAGACCTGCTTTAGTCCTGCTTTAGACCTGTTTTAGACCTGCTTTAGACCTGCTTTAGTCCTGCTTTAGACCTGTTTTAGACCTGCTTTAGACCTGCTTTAGACCTGCTTTAGTCCTGCTTTGGACCTGCTTTAGACCTGCTTTAGACCTGATTTAGTCCTGCTTTAGTCCTGCTTTAGACCTGCTTTAGACCTGCTTTAGACCTGCTTTAGTCCTGCTTTAGTCCTGCTTTAGACCTGCTTTAGACCCTGCTTTAGACCTGCTTTAGACCTGCTTTAGACCTGCTTTAGTCCTGCTTTAGACCTGCTTTAGTCCTGCTTTAGACCTGCTGTAGTCCTGCTTTAGACCTGCTTTAGACCTGCTTTAGTCCTGCTTTAGTCCTGCTTTAGTCCTGCTTTAGTCCTGCTTTAGTCCTTTAGACTTGCTGTAGTCCTGCTTTAGACCTGGTTTAGTCCTGCTTTAGACCTGCTTTAGTCCTGCTTTAGTCCTGCTTTAGTCCTGCTTTAGACCTGCTTTAGACCTGCTTTAGACCTGCTTTAGACCTGCTTTAGACCTGCTTTAGTCCTGCTTTAGACCTGCTTTAGTCCTGCTTTAGACCTGCTTTAGACCTGCTTTAGACCTGCTTTAGTCCTGCTTTAGTCCTGCTTTAGTCCTGCTTTGGACCTGCTTTAGACTGCTTTAGTCCTGCTTTAGTCCTGCTTTGGACCTGCTTTAGACCTGCTTTAGTCCTGCTTTAGACCTGCTTTAGACCTGCTTTAGACCTGCTTTAGTCCTGCTTTAGTCCTGCTTTAGACCTGCTTTAGTCCTGCTTTAGACCTGCTTTAGACCTGCTTTAGACCTGCTTTAGTCCTGTTTTAGACCTGCTTTAGTCCTGCTTTAGACCTGCTGTAGTCCTGCTTTAGACCTGCTTTAGTCCTGCTTTAGACCTGCTTTAGTCCTGCTTTAGTCCTGCTTTAGACCTGCTGTAGTCCTGTGAAGAAGATGACATAGTCTGGGATCGCGTCTTTAATTCAGACAGAAGACATGTTTTATTGTCGATGGTAGAGACAGCACGAACAACAGATACAACAGAATGCAAGTGTATTATACAGAGCGGAGGCATGGAGACCTCCAATCAGCAGCTTCCACGGTGCCAGCAGAGATAGTCAAAACATGAAGTGGAAAAGTACAGGCTTCTGCACATTGATAGAATGACGAGTTTAACCTTAACAAAAGTTGCTTAAAAGTGTTATGAAATCTCACATTCCCCCCTCTGGTCATACATTCCATCAGTGACCATCAGGATCGATAAACAGCAACATAACATCATAACTCAATACTTAAACTCGGTACTTCACAAGTTGCTTAAAAGTGTTATGAAATCTCACACCTGCTTTAGACCTGGTTTAGTCCTGCTTTAGACCTGCTTTAGTCCTGCTTTAGTCCTGCTTTAGTCCTGCTTTAGTCCTGCTTTAGTCCTGCTTTAGACCTGCTTTAGACCTGCTTTAGACCTGCTTTAGACCTGCTTTAGACCTGCTTTAGACCTGCTTTAGACCTGCTTTAGACCTGCTTTAGACCTGCTTTAGACCTGCTTTAGACCTGCTTTAGTCCTGCTTTAGACCTGCTTTAGACCTGCTTTAGACCTGCTTTAGACCTGCTTTAGACCTGCTTTAGACCTGCTTTAGACCTGCTTTAGTCCTGCTTTAGTCCCACTTCAGTTGACAGGTGGTGGTCACATTGAGTCACAAAAACAATCATGAGTTATTCACTCATTTACATTTTTGCACTCTTTCATCTGAGCCAAAATGTCCTGTTCTCAGCTTCTGTGTGTGTGGTCTGAGCGGAGCCTGCAGGGCCTTCATACACATACATAATGATCACCTTGACTGCTCTCAGCCCAAAGAGTCATATAGTGACTCGCAGGGTCTGGTCTGAGACTCCTGTTCAAACTACATGTTTTATGAAACTGAAATTACATACCTGCGCTTTAAACGCTCCATATGATTAGAGCAAACTCAAACAGGCAGAGGTTGTATCCTCCCCAGGAAAGGGTTAGAGAAAGAGAGGTGGGGGGAGAGAGAGAGAAGGGGGAGACAGAGTGAGAGGAGAGAGAGAGAGAGAGAGAGGAGAGAGAAGGGGGAGTGAGAGGAGAGAGAGAGAGAGGAGAGAGAAGGGGGAGACGGAGTGAGAGGAGAGAGAGAGAGGAGAGAGAAGGGGGAGAGGGGGAAGACAGAGCGAGGTGGGAGATAGATGGGGAGACAGACAGAGAGATGGTGGGAGAGGGGGAGACAGAGTGAGAGGAGAGAGAAGGGGGTGAGGGGAGAAGCATGAAGGGCCCGCTCTGAAGGAAGTGAGTGTGGGAAGATAAATTGATTTAACGTCCAGAGAAAGTGACAGAGACGAAGAGGACGAAGAGTAGAGTGGATCAAACGAGATGGAGCTTGGGAGAGGACGGGCGGAGAGGAAGAGAGAGGGTGGAGAAAAGGCAAGAAAGAGATTTCAGTTTCGATTTTGACTGTAAATAAAGTAAGTATTAATATATACACGACACTTCCTGGTTACGTACAGGGTAAATAAATAACCCGCCTTCTTCTGCTGAGCCCTGTCCTCACCGTGACCACGCCCCCTGAACCGGCTCCAGAGGTGGAGACTCTGACCACGCCCCCTGAACCGGCTCCGGAGGGGGAGACTGAGACAAAGACATTACTCTGCAGCGAGGCACCGAGCCAAGCCCCTCCTCTGGACCAATCACAGCGCAGCGTTCACTAACATTACATCATCGTTTACCAATCTGTATCATTCACAACGAGAAGCTGCAGTCGCCGTGTTAACAGTTCAATCTGAAAAAAGACCAGAAAGGGAGACCAGAGAGAGAGGGAGAGACCAGAGAGAGAAAAACCAGAGAGAGAGAAAAACCAGAGAGAGAGAGAGAAAAACCAGAGAGGGAGAAAAACCAGAGAGGGAGAGAGACCAGAGAGAGGGAGAGACCAGAGAGAGAGACCTTGTGTAACTGCCCAAACTCTGAGGTCAGAGCTTCACTCACCCAAACCCAGCTCCACGGCTTGTTACGTTGTCATACCCCTGAGCCACCCTCTGTTTGAAGACCTGTTGTACACACTCTTTGATTGTGATTGGCTGTGTTGTCTGTCCATCACAGCGGGGGCGGGACATAAGGCAGGCTGGGCCTTCGGATTGGGTCTGGAGCGTTTGGCCATGATCCTGTTCAACATTCCGGACATCCGACTGTTCTGGAGCCGAGACCCGGGCTTCCTCCAGCAGTTCAGAGTGACCGACATCCACCAGCCAATCAGCTTCAAGGTACCCTCCTCCACCAGCCAATCAGCTTCAAGGTACCCTCCTCCACCAGCCAATCAGCTTCAAGGTACTATGTTGATGGCTCCTCCCCCTTGGCTCTTTTGACCACCGCCTCAGATTCTCTCTCCCTTCTCTCTTCCCCCTCCCCTCCGGCCTCTCTCATTCTAATTCTTTCCTCATGCTCTCCTCTTTCTCCTCCTCTCCTCACACTCCTTTCTCCCCCTCTCTCCCGTCTCCTCATGCTTCTCTCCTCCCCCTTCCTTTTACCCTCTCTCCCATCTCTTCACTCTCGTCTTGTGTCTCCTCAGGCTGTCAGAGGTTCCCTCCTCTCTCACCTCCTCTACCCTCTCTCCTCTCTCCCCCTCCCCCCTCCTCCCTCCTGTCCCCCCGCCTCCCCCGCTCCCCCTCTTCTCTCCACTCTCCTCTCTCCTCCCATCTCTCCCTCCTCTTTACTCTCTCCCTCCCCCTCCTCCCCCCTCTCTTCCCCCTTCTCACTCTCGTCTCATTTCTCCTCAGGCTGTCAGCAGGTTCCCTCCCCTCTCTCCTCTCTCCTCTCTCCCCTCCCTCTCCTCTTCTCTCCCCCCTCCTCTCTCCTCTCTCCCCCTTCCTCACTCTCGTCTCCTGTCTCCTCTCTCCCCTCTCTCCTCCTCTCTCCCCCCTCCTCTCTCCTCTCTCCCCTCTCTCTCCTCCTCTCTCCCCCCTCCTCACTCTCGTCTCCTGTCTCCTCAGGCTGTCAGCAGGTTCCCTCCTCTCCATAATGACATCTCCTTCTGGGTCCCGGACTCCTTCTGTCCACAGGACTTCTTTGAGCTGGTGCGCTGTGTGGGAGGAGACCTGGTGGAGCAGGTGACTCTGCTGGACCACTTCACACACCCAAAGTGAGTGACCCGGACCAGCGAGGGACTGGACAAGGATCTGGTTCAGTCCTGGTTCAGTCCTGGTTCAGTCCTGGTTCAGTCCTGGTTCAGTCCTGGTTCAGTCCTGGTTCAGTCCTGGTTCAGTCCTAATTGGATGGGTTTATTGACTTGTATGAAATCCTCCAGTGAAACAGAATAATCCGGCTTCTTTGGTCTCCACGTCAGCGCATCTGTGCCAAAATGCCTGCTTTATGTTCGGGTTCTGTAAGAGCAGATATGAGTCACACTAACTTGACCTTTATGGACAAGTGGAAAAAGAAAGCCACTGCACCATCCCCAGTATGAGGGAGGGGGGGAGTATCATGCTATAGGGTCTCCCTCTGGTCCTGAGTAACATGACTTGAACACTTATTTTGAAAGTGGTCTCTCTCTCTGGTCTCTCGGGTCTCTCTCGCCCTGGTCTCTCTCTGGTCTCTCTCTGGTCTCTTTCTGGTCTCCGGTCTCTCTCTCTCTAGTCTCTCGGTCTGGTCTCTCTTTCTGGTTTTGGGGTATGGATATTTATGCGACATGGAACTCAAATTAAAATCAGATTAAAAATTGAGAAGAGGATTTTGCTTCAAACAGCGATTAAGAAAAAACAAGATTAATGACCAGGACTGGGCCAGGACCAGACCAGGACCAGACCTGGGCCAGACTTGGACGGGACCATAACTAAACCATGATCAGGACCCTTGGATCTCGATCTTGACTCGGGTCTGGACTTGCGCTGACACTGCTGAAGCAAAGCAGCCTCTCTGTAAACGTATCCTTCTAAAACCCTCTGTCATGATTGGTTAGACGTGTTTGATTGACAGTTGTTTCGTCCACTCAGGACGGGCCGCAGGAGTGAATGTTACCGGATCGTTTACCGTCACATGGAGCGAACTTTGACCCAGGAAGAAGTCCGACAGACGCACGCCGCGATCGAGAGAACAGCGGAGAGCGAGCTGGGAGTGACTGGGAGATACTGAGGCTAGCACACCGAGGCTAGCATACGGAGGCTAGCACACCGAGGCTAGCATACGGAGGCTAGGATACGGAGGCTAGCACACTCAGGGTAGCACTAACCCTGGACTGAATACGCGAGTGGGGCCTCTGCATTTGTTTAACATCTTTTAATAATGAAATTAAGAATATAATATAATGTTTTGTGGAACTGTTGAAATGTTAAATATTTTGGATAAAAAAATAAAACTGTAAATGTGTCGTTCTTAAACCAAGATTTGAATATATTCAACTCAAACCTTTGTGGGAAATGGTACGTGTTAGAGTCAGTGTCAGATATGGGGGGTTAGCGGCGTCATGCTGCTTTTCTTCAGCAGGGACTGGCCACAATGATGACAGACTGTGACATCACACTCATCAGGGACCTATCTCAGCTGCAGGTTCCTTCAAACAGATGATGTCAGGGTTTGGGTCTGTCCCAGGGAGCAGATGGCCCAGACCTGGACTGGGACCAGACCTGGACCGGGACCAGGACTTTGCAGGCCTGACTCACAGCAGACGTCTTTAAATCATTGGTTTGTGATTTTGCACATTTAGTTTCCTGGTTCTTTGGTTTCACTTTGATGTAAAATGCATAAGTAACATAGGACCGCAGCTTGAGAAGCATTGGGTTAAACCAGGGGTGGTTCAGTCCTCTTTTAGAACTCTTTTAGACCTGGATAAGTCCTGCTCTAGTCCTGCTTTAGTCCTAGTCCTGATAGGGTTTGGAATCCTGTCCTTGATAAGTCCTTGGTCCTGGTTCAGATCCAACTGGCACCAGATCTGGATCAATGAAAACCCAACCCCAGTTTGTCAATAACAGACTAAGGACTGCAGTGATACTACTACAACTGCCACTACTGCTACTGCTGCTACTGCCACTACTGCTGCTGCTACTGCTGCTACTGCCACTACTGCTGCTGCTACTGCCACTACTACTGCTGCTACTGCCACTACTGCTGCTGCTACTGCTGCTACTGCTACTGCTGCTGCTACTGCTACTACTGCTGCTGCTACTGCTGCTGCTACTGCTGCTGCTACTGCCACTACTGCTGCTGCTACTGCTGCTGCTACTGCTGCTGCTACTGCCACTACTGCTGCTGCTACTGCACCTGCTGCTACTGCACCTGCTACTACCACTGCTACTACTATTGCTACTACTACTACTAGTACTGCTACTAAACTCAAAAAAAATATAAACACAACACTTTTGTTTTTGCTCCCATTTTCCATGAGATCATAAAGATCTAAAATTCATTCCAGATACATAATATTACCATTTCTCTCAAACATTGTTCACAAATCTGTCTAAATGTGTGATAGTGAGCACTTCTGCTTTGCTGAGATAATCCATCCCACCTCACAGGTTAGACTGTCCACAATAGAACTCTGAAATGTGCATTATTTTGCTTAATTGGTGATCTGGGGACTCAGAACCAGTCAGTATCTGGGTCTGGGGACTCAGAACCAGTCAGTATCTGGGTCTGGGGACTCAGAACCAGTCAGTATCTGGTGTGACCATTTGCCTCATGCAGTGCAACACATCTTCTTAAAAAGAGTTTATCAGATTGTCAATTGTAATTTTGTTTAATTTTTTTTTACAAAGATGCGCTGGGTACGTTAGTGAGTTAGTGGTATGTCGTTACCCAGCGCTTCTGTAGCTCTGATTAACAGTTGTTGTTTTGAGCTTTACAATTTTTATTTTTATTGCTTTTTTCTGCCTGAGATTTGCACTGGTCCAGACCGGAGCAGAGAGGATTCATGGTCCAAACCAAGCGGATCAGATGAAAATCCACTGGAGGAATGGCTACTTTTTGAAAAATGCTAATGAAGCATTTAGCATTTTACTTTGGACTAGAGCAGAGAAAATGGTCCAAACCAAGTGGTTACTCCACCTTTTGACCCGTCCTGCTCCACCCAGAGGCTACTCCACCTCTGCTGCTGTGACCTGAAGGGCTGTGGCTGATTATTACTATTGTCATCTTTTTTTTAGAATGATCAATTTTCTTTTTTCTTTTTGCTACTACTGGACACCTGAATTTCTCCTTTGGGAGATCAATAAAGTATCTATCTATCTATCTATCTATCTATCTATTGTGGACTGTGGAATTTTGGTCCACTCCTCTTGATTGGCTGTGCTGCTGGATGTCAGTGGGAACTGGTGCATGCTGTCGTATACGCCGTCAAGCACATCCAAACATGCTCAGTGGGTGACATGTCCAGTGAAGATGGTGGCCATGCAAGAACTGGGACATTTTCAGCTTCAAAGAACATGGGGCCGTGCTTTATCGGCTGAAACATGATGTTCGTGGATGTATGGCACCACCATGGGCCATACCATGACCCCACCACCACCATGGGCCACTCCATCCACAACATTGACACCAGCAAAGCGCTAACACGACGCCACACACGCAGTCTGCCATCTGCCCTGAACACTGCAAACCCTGTGAAGAGAACACCTCTCCAATGTGCCAGACGCCACGAGTCAGGTCCAGACCCCGATGAGGACAACGAGCTGGAGTCAGGTCCAGACCCCGATGAGGACGACGAGCTGGAGTCAGGTCCAGCCCAGATGAAGAGCTGCAGTTTCCCTGAGACGGTCACTGACAGTTTGTGCAGTGTTTGGTACAAACCAATAGTTTCAGCAGCTCAGTGTCTCAGACGATCTTGGAGGTGAACCTGCTGGATGTGGAGGTCCTGGGCTGGATGTGGAGGTCCTGGGCTGGATGTGGAGGTCCTGGGCTGGATGTGGAGGTCCTGGGCTGGATGTGGAGGTCCTGGGCTGGATGTGGAGGTCCTGCTGTGGTTACACATGGTCTGCGGTTGTGAAATGAACATTCAGTGCACGAGCAGCAGATGTGGTTGACGTTCTGCTGTCAGCGCTCCCTCAGTGCTTTGGCACTTTGCTGAGACAGAGGTGCACATTTCAGAGTTTTATTGTGGACAGTCTAAGGCTGTGCACTAATCATGAGGTCAGATCAGCATCTTGATGTGGCACACCTGTGAGGTGGGATGGATTATCTCAGCAAAGCAGAAGTGCTCACTATCACACATTTAGACAGATTTGTGAACAATGTTTGAGAGAAATGGTAATATTGTGTATCTGGAATGAATTTTAGATCTTTACGACCATCTCATGGAAAATGGGAGCAAAAATCCCGGTCGGACCAGGGCCTTTCTGAGTGGAGTTTGCATGTTCTCCCCGTGTCTGCGTAGGTTTCCTCCGGGTACTCCGGTTTCCCCTACCACTAAAAATATGTAAAATAGTTCTGGCATGCGCCTCCTGTACTGGCCCCGCTCCCATCTCTGTGTGGAGTGAGAGACAAATGCCCAAAAATTAACAATTGTAAACCGCTTTGAGACTCAGATCTGCAGTGAAAAGGCGGTATATAAATAAAGATTACTTACTAAACTTACTAAAAACAAGTGTTGCGTTTATATTTTTATTGAGTGTAGTAGTAGTACTATTACAACTACCAGTACTACTACTACTACTACTACTAGTACTGCTACTGCTGCTACTAATACTACAGGTGTAGTAGGTTAACAGGTGAGATTGAAACGATTGGATCTGAGTTTACTGTGACGTATGTAATGAGCCCGAGTTAGTCGTTAGCATTTAGCATTTAGCCGAGCCATCTCCTTTGCCGCTAACGAAGCCCGTGGGGAGTAGCGCCACAATTTTTTTCTGCAATTACATTTGCTAAACATTCCTCTTGCTCCTGCTTCAATTTATTGATAGAACCAGACCGAATTACTTTACTATCGCATTTTTCGCCATTGCCAAACTACAACCTGTCTGTTCAGTGCAAACTCTTGACGTCGCCCACATTTAACTAGAACAGCCGCCTCCCGCGCTCTCTGATTGGTCGGTCGAAATTCAAGCGATTGTAATCGCTAACACAGGGACCAGACCCAGACGTTACATTCAGTGAAATGATGATTGAGCGGAGTGTACGGATGGATAAGGCCAGGCTAGTTCCTGCCAATCTCCAGAGTGTTTTTTGGGTTTTTTTGCTTTGTTTATTTTCTTTCTTTCACATTTTTGCTGCTGTTGTTAATATTGGACTCAACCTCAATAAAATATTTATGTGGAAGAAATCAGGTCAGATCACTGTGGACCCAACGGACCCATGAAGTCCAGCTGAAGACCCAAGACCAAGCTTTAGACCTTGTTTAGACCTGCTTTAGACCTGCTTTAGTCCTGCTTTAGTCCTGCTTTAGACCTGCTTTATTAGTCCTGCTTTAGACCTGCTGTAGTCCTGCTTTAGACCTGCTGTAGTCCTGCTTTAGACCTGCTTTAGACCTGCTTTAGACCTGCTTTAGACCTGCTTTAGACCTGCTTTAGTCCTGCTTTAGACCTGCTTTAGTCCTGCTTTAGTCCTGCTTTAGACCTGCTTTAGACCTGCTTTAGTCCTGCTTTAGACCTGCTTTAGTCCTGCTTTAGACCTGCTTTAGTCCTGCTTTAGACCTGCTTTAGTCCTGCTTTAGTCCTGCTTTAGTCCTGCTTTAGACCTGCTTTATTAGTCCTGCTTTAGACCTGCTGTAGTCCTGCTTTAGACCTGCTGTAGTCCTGCTTTAGACCTGCTTTAGACCTGCTTTAGACCTGCTTTAGACCTGCTTTAGTCCTGCTTTAGTCCTGCTTTAGACCTGCTTTAGACCTGCTTTAGTCCTGCTTTAGACCTGCTTTAGACCTGCTTTAGTCCTGCTTTAGACCTGCTTTAGTCCTGCTTTAGACCTGCTTTAGTCCTGCTTTAGTCCTGCTTTAGTCCTGCTTTAGTCCTGCTTTAGACCTGCTTTAGACCTGGTTTAGTTCCATACTTTTCATTTCTTTAAAGCACACTTCCACTCACTTCATTGTTCATCTCTTACTAGACATGTCCTCTTCCTCCTCCTCTTCCTCGCTCCAGGGTTATCATTTTAATAATTCATAAACATTGATTTTCTCGAGACACAAACCATTTTTTTTCCAAACATTTTATTCTCATTTCATCAAACTCTTTTTAAATTCATATTTTCATATTCTCTGTATATTTAATATTCTGTTAAACTCTTATTCTCAGGATCATAATCTACTTAAAGTACATTTTTTTTCTATTTTTTATCATTTCAATAAAACAGAAAAAAACAGAAAATGCAACAGATTTGAATTGTGGTTTAGTCATTCAAACAAACAGAAAAATAATACTTCTAAAATCAATATTTTTAGATAAATATATGCGCTAAAAAAATCTTAATTTGGCAATTTAAAAAAAACAAAAACACATTTTCCAAACTAATGCCATTTTGACGTTTTTTCAAAGTACAGATCTGGAGCATGATGCTAACTGTCCAAGTGTAACTGTAGCATAATGCTAACTGTCCAAGTGTAACTGTAGCATGATGCTAACTGTCCAAGTGTAACTGTAGCATGATGCTAACTGTCCAAGTGTAACTGTAGCATGATGCTAACTGTCCAAGTGTGACTGTAGCATGATGCTAACTGTCCAAGTGTAAATGTAGCATGATGCTAACTGTCCAAGTGTGAATATAGCATAATGCTAACTGTCCAAGTGTAAATGTAGCATGATGCTAACTGTCCAAGTGTGAATATAGCATAATGCTAACTGTCCATGTGTGAATGTAGCATAATGCTAACTGTCAAGTGTAAATGTAACATGATGCTAGCATGATCCTAACAGTGTTTTTCTCCAAAAACGTAATTCTTATTTTTTCTGCTTCAATGAAATAATATTTATTTTTAACAAATTGTCCTTTTCTCCTGATGCTACGTCGCTTGAATCTAACACAGACTTAAAGTTTTCCACAAAGGATTTTTTTTTTCGACAATAAATGAACAAAAGGTTTTTACTTTTACATAGATTCTGAAGCTACACTGGCCTGAAGTCTTGTATTGCTGTTCTCAAACTATTGTGACTAAACGAGGATTCTGAGGAGCACACCTTGAGCTAACGGAATGCCCTAAGGTTTACATCAGGAGCAGTGGTTGCCGTAGTAACAGCCCCCGGGAATCCGTCTCCAGATGTTGATGCTTAGCTTGGTCAGGACCAGAGCTGGAGGATTTAACCTAGTGTGCATGTTTTTGTGGTAGGGGAAATCGGAGTACCCAGAGGAAACCTACACAAGCACGGGGAGAACATGCAAACTCCACTCAGAAAGGGTTTTGAACTCAGGACCTTCTTGCTGAGAGGCGAGAGTGCTATCCACTCAGCCACTGTGCCCAATACAAAAGTTAATGGGTGTTAATTGGCACTAACGGAAACTAACAAAGTATATACAAAAGCAAACATTTGCCTCATGACAAAGTGGTTTTGGGATAAAATTAGGTACAGTCTTCAGATACTGCGCTCCGTTATGCCCCGCCCCCAGCACATACTGCGCTCCGCTATGCCCCGCCCCCAGCACATACTGCGCTCTGTTATGCCCCGCCCCCAGCACATACTGCGCTCCGTTATGCCCCGCCCCCAGCACATACTGCGCTCCGTTATGCCCCGCCCCCAGCACATACTGCGCTCCGTTATGCCCCGCCCCCAGCACATACTGCGCTCCGCTATGCCCCGCCCCCAGCACATACTGCGCTCTGTTATGCCCCGCCCCCAGCACATACTGCGCTCTGTTATGCCCCGCCCCCAGCACATACTGCGCTCTGTTATGCCCCGCCCCCAGCACATACTGCGCTCTGTTATGCCCCGCCCCCAGCACATACTGCGCTCTGTTATGCCCCGCCCCCAGCACATACTGCGCTCTGTTATGCCCCGCCCCCAGCACATACTGCGCTCTGTTATGCCCCGCCCCCAGCACATACTGCGCTCTGTTATGCCCCGCCCCCAGCACATACTGCGCTCTGTTATGCCCCGCCCCCAGCGCACCCCTCAGAATCCTGCGTTTAGTGAAGGGCCCGGTCACACCACATTAACAAAATTGCTAAAAGATGAAACATGAAAACAAACAGTCTGACTACACCGCTAGCATGCTAACAGCCATTACGCTAGCAGCAATAGCTAACATTGCAAACACCACAGAGCATGAGAGGTTATTGGAGCGGTGACAGCCATTTTGCTGTCCTGCGACACGCCCGTATGTGACTCTGTTACCATGGAAACCAACTCTGCACGCCATTATTGTGTCGTGTTTTGGGCTGCGACAGGTGAAGTATTGCAGAAGAATACAAACAGTCAGGATATGGCTTCAAACCAAAGATAAAAAAATTAAATAGGCCGACAGCTTCGTGAATATTTATCGATTTGAAATGGGTAGAAAAAGTGAATCTGATTAACAGCTGTCACTTTAGACGTCGGCCCGCATTGCTTTTGTTTTATTGTTTTAGTTTTCATGGTTTGTTTTCTCCTGTCGCAGCCTCTGCTTCAGGCTAAAGCTGGTGTGACCACGGCCCAAAGAAAACAGAAGAAGGCTTTGTACACTGTCCCCTCGTGTTTCGCTCCAAAACAGAAGAACGTCCATATTTTCTCCAAATCCACAGATTAAACACATTCTCCAGTCTCTGAATAAACTTCTGGCTCCTTTTGGCCAAAGATTATCCTCAGATCCTTTTTGTCTCCAGTGGTGCAATCTTTTAAAATCCATTTACCTTGAAACATATGTCGTTCTATTGAACAATCCGTGGCTTTTATGGTATGAACACTGGTCCAAACTATGGTTCTGATTGGTCCAATTCACCCACGATACATTGTTTCAAATTTTAGACCCAAGAATCATAAAACACTGTGTCTTCAGTTTTCCCATTTTTCCAGTTCTCGGGTCCAGTTCTGAGCTGGGCTTTCTTTACTTTGTTGTCCCCAAAATCTGCCCAGACACAAGGAGAACATGCAAACTCTGTGTGGTTATCTGGCCCTGGTCCAGAACTGGACCGGACTCATGGAAAAGTGAATTTATCTGAATCTTGGCTCCGCTTTGAGCCAATGAGGAGTATGTTTACAAAGTATCAGACTCAAACCGGTCTGACCACTCTGGTCCGGTCTGTCTGATCAAACCGGTCTGACCACTCTGGTCCGGTCTGTCTGATCAAACCGGTCTGACCACTCTGGTCCGGTCTCTCTGATCAATAGCTGCGGTTTCTCTGGTGCTTTGTGAACATACTCTTTGTTTTTGCGGCTTATGGGACACTTGTGGCCATTAGACCGATCCCTGGGGGTCTCTCGCTCTCACAGCAGCAGCAGCAGCAGAGTGGACGCTGCCGCGGTCAGCAGCAGCGCGCTGTGGCCCCGGCGCACGCTGGCGTTGTTGCTTCCGCACAGTTCAAACAGACTTCCGCGGAAGTCCAGGTTCCGCGACTCGGTCTTCAGCTTCTCCCACATCTGAGACATCTCCTCTGCCCCCTGCTGGCAGTCTGTGAGAGCAGTGGCTGCACATGAATGGAAGTTATCCCAGTACCTGCCATAAGGGGGAGCACAGAGAAGACAGGTCATTAATGTCTGGATTTACAAAATAATATCACAATAGAAACCCCAGGATCACAGAACCAGATTTAAGCCCAAAATGGTGCATGTGACAAAGTTGGAGCCAAACTTCACCAGGAGCCCTTCCATATTGGGCTTCTTTGAGCTAGCGGGTTATCATTGTCCATCTGTATACAGAGGATTTGAGGCATAAAACTAGTTATGTATGTGCACTGTGCCAAACAAGTAAAACCTGCCTGCATTTGGACATGGAAGAGTAGGGGGGGGTCTGCTGGTGCCATCTGGACCCCCACCCCATGGGTTTCCCCCTCCCCCTCCTCACCCTGACTCTTCGCACAAACCTCACGTTTCACACAAACTCAGGATCTCCATCTGTGCCCAAACACAAGAGTCATGTGCACTACCTCTTTGTCGAGGTAGTGCTTAAAGCTGGGGTACGTAATTTTACATAATAATGGGGCGTTCAGACCATGGATCTATAATAATAACTGGATAGGGTATTACTAGATTACAGCTGTCACACCCATGGGCACAGTGGTACTGCAGACTAAATTCACGTGGGCTACCCAGAAAAAAGTCCCATAGAACTCAATGCATATTAAAACAGCTCAACCTCAGCTTACAGAGAACCTGACAGAGAACCTACAACTTTCATAAAGATCGGATTTTGTGGGGATTTTAGTGTCCCTTGTCATCCTGAACTTTCTTTCTTATTAAATCCTTCGGTTTTCTTTAAATCCACACTTTACTGCCACAAACTCTGCTCCCTGCCTTCCTGCTCTGGCTCCGCTCTGCTGCTGCTCTGATGATCAGCTCTGATTGGTCAGAGCGCGGCCGAGCCCCTCTGTGCACGTGCATGAGAGCCACACGCGCACGTTTGGCGCAAAACATCAAGGGAGCTCGTCCACTGCGCAGAACCAGGAGGACCAGACGATGCCAATGTATACAGTGCCTTGCGAAAGTATTCGGCCCCCTTGAACCTTTCAACATTTCGCCACATTTCAGGCTCCAAACATAAAGATATAAATTTTAATTTTTTGTCATGAATCAACAACAAGTGTAACACAACCGTGAAGTGGAACGAAATTTATTGGATAATTAAAACTTTTTTAACAAATAACTGAAAAGTGGGGCGTGCGATATTATTCGGCCCCTTTACTTTCAGTGCAGCAAACTCAGTCCAGAAGTTCAGTGAGGATCTTTGAATGATCCAATGTTGTCCTAAATGACTGATGATGATAAATAGAATGCACCTGTGTGTAATCAAGTCTCCGTATAAATGCACCTGCTCTTTGATAGTCTCAGGGTTCTGTTTAAAGCGCAGAGAGAACCATGAAGACAAAGGAACACACCAGGCAGGTCCGAGATACTGTTGTGGAGAAGTTTAAAGCCGGATTTGGATACAAAAAGATTTCCCAAGCTTTAAACATCTCAAGGAGCACTGTGCAAGCAATTATATTGAAATGGAAGGAGTATCAGACCACTGCAAATCTACCAAGACCCGGCCGTCCCTCCAAACTTTCATCTCAAACAAGGAGAAGACTGATCAGAGATGCAGCCAAGAGGCCCATGATCACTCTGGATGAACTGCAGATAACTACAGCTGAGGTGGGAGAGTCTGTCCATAGGACAACAATCAGTCGTGCACTGCACAAATCTGGCCTTTATGGAAGAGTGGCAAGAAGAAAGCCATTTTTCAAAGATATCCATAAAAAGTCTCGTTTAAAGTTTGCCACAAGCCACCTGGGAGACACACCAAACATGTGGAAGAAGGTGCTCTGGTCAGATGAAACCAAAATCAAACTTTTTGGCCACAATGCAAAACGATATGTTTGGCGTAAAAGCAACGCAGCTCCTCACCCTGAACACACCATCCCCACTGTCAAACATGGTGGTGGCAGCATCATGCTTTGGGCCTGCTTTTCTTCAGCAGGGACAGGGAAGATGGCTAAAATTGATGGGAAGATGGATGGAGCCAAATACAGGACCATTCTGGAAGAAAACCTGTTGGAGTCTGCAAAAGACCTGAGACTGGGACGGAGATTTATCTTCCAACAGGACAATGATCCAAAACATAAAGCCAAATCTACAATGGAATGGTTCACAAATAGACGTATCGAGGTGTTAGAATGGCCAAGTCAAAGTCCAGACCTGAATCCAATCGAGAATCTGTGGAAAGAGCTGAAGACTGCTGTTCACAAACACTCTCCATCCAACCTCACTGAGCTCGAGCTGTTTTGCAAGGAAGAATGGGCAAGCGACTTGCAGCTGTAGTTGCAGCAAAAGGTGGTGCTACAAAGTATTAGCGCAAGGGGGCCGAATAATATTGCACGCCCCACTTTTCAGTTTTTTATTTGTTAAAAAAGTTTAAATTATCCAATAAATGTCGTTCCACTTCACAATTGTGTCCCACTTGTTGATTCTTGACAAAAAATTAAATTTGTATATCTTTATGCTTGAAGCCTGAAATGTGGCGAAATGTTGAAAGGTTCAAGGGGGGCGAATACTTTCGCCATCTTGGATCACCGGGGCTTGGTTCAGACGCCGACACTGGAACGCTGCCGCCCCGCGCACTAGGCGCGCATTCTCTAAATTTCAGACGATCGGGGTGTTCAGACCAGAAGTCCTGCTGCAGTGGCGCCCGGTGGAAGTGGCAGAAGTAGCGGGCGGACTTTCATGCTAACGGAGTTAAGCTAGTTTTTCTCCAATGATGCAGCTCTGCAGCGTCTATGTATCCAGAGACCTTCAAAGACTTTATATAACAGCAGTATGTGTTCACGGAGGTGATTTTATATAACAGCAGTATGTGTTCACGGAGGTGATTTTATATAACAGCAGTATGTGTTCACGGAGGTGACTTTATATAACAGCAGTATGTGTTCACGGTGACTTTATATAACAGCAGTATGTGTTCACGGTGACTTTATATAACAGCAGTATGTGTTCACGGAGGTGACTTTATATAACAGCAGTATGTGTTCACGGAGGTGACTTTATATAACAGCAGTATGTGTTCACGGAGGTGACTTTATATAACAGTAGTACAGTATGTGTTCACGGAGGTGACTTTATATAACAGCAGTATGTGTTCACGGAGGTGACTTTATATAACAGCAGTATGTGTTCACGGAGGTGCGCCATAAGTTTATTTTATTATTAAACGATACTTCCGCATCAGGGAACACGCTCAAAGCAGTGTATACAGTAGGGGTGGGAACCTAAGGGTACCTCACGATACGATACGCGATACAAAGCTCACGATAACAATTATGTCACAATAACGATTATATCACAATATATTGGTCAGCAATATACCATATGCCAATATATGGCATACATAAAATAGAAAATGTTTAGGTGAAAAAATACACTTTGTTTCATGATAAATGCAATGGAGATGTGTAATGTAGCCATAAATTAAGTATTAATACAAATTTAAAAAATAAATAAATAAATAAAAAAAATTTTGAAAATAGTCCAGGGTTTTCAGCTGAATTAGACTAATGTTGATGCTCTGAGTCCGAAAATGACCTTGGTTTTGCTCAATCAGGTCAGGATTTTTTGCTACAGAAATATTTTTTTAAATCGATTTTGCGTAAAAAACAAATTTCTGCGGATCATCAGCTGAGAAACCCTTGACGTTTTTTCCGTTTTCCTCAAGAAATAAAAGTCAACGTATCCAAAGTCATTCACTTTTTATTTACTCCATCAAATTTGATAAGCAGAATTCATAATAACGTAGACGTACATAATCCGTAACACTATGGCTGTATCTCAAAAAGTTGACCTGATAGAGCAAAATGCATGTGATATTCGGACTCAGAACACCAACATTAGTCTAAATCAGTTGAGAAACCCCTGACCATCTTTTGGCTGTCAACTTGTGTAATTGATTGCGGGAGAAAGTATCGCAATATATCAAAAAATCGATATATTGCCACACTCCTAGTATACAGTCACAGGAGCATGAGAACACATATGTTCATAAGCACAGAGTCCCCCATTGTCAACCCTGGTTTAGTCCTGGTTTTAGTCCTGGTTTAGTCCTGGTTTTAGTCCTGGTTTAGTCCTGGTTTAGTTCCTGGTTTAGTCCTGGTTTAGTTCCTGGTTTTGTCCTGGTTCAGTCCTGGTGTAGCTCCTGATTTGGCTGTTTACAGTATGTTCAGTCTGCTCGCTCAGACCACTAATGTCCCCGTGAACACTTTGCGGCTCTCTGATTGGTCGCTGCTTGAGCGTCCGAGGAAACACGCCTTTGCTGTGCCCGTACCGCGCAGTCCGTGTGTGCGTCCCGAGACACACATGCAGTTCTACGCTCAAACACACGTCACCTTTGACTTTGCAGTGAAAGTCGCCGCAGCGTGATCTGAACACCACGTTACAGAACTCTGTAATAAACCCATGACTTTGGCTCTAAAACATTCATCTAAGTCATTCTAAGTCATTCACATCCTGTGCCAACCAGCTCTCAGCCAATCAGCTCTCAGCCAATCAGCTCTCAGCCCAAAGAGTCCCTTGAGTGACTTGTGTCCAGTTTTAGAACAGTCTTCCCCTGACCCACATGTGAGCAATGGCCTAGAAAACTCTTTAATTACTGTGACAGACCAGTTTCACTCTCTCTGGTCTCTCTCTGGTCTCTCTCTGGTCTCATTCTGGTCCCTCTCTGGTCTCTCTCTGGTCTTTTTCTGGTCCCTCTCTGGTCTCGCTCTGGTCTTTCTATGGTCTCTCTCTCTCTGTTCTTTCTCTGGTCTCTCCCTCTGGTCTCTCTCTGGTCTTTCTCTGGTCTCTCTCTGGTCTCCCTCTGGTCTCCCTCTGTTCTCTCTCTGTTCTCTCTCTGGTCTCTCTCTGGTCTCTCTCTCTGGTCTCTGTTTCTGGTCTCTCTCTGGTCTCTCTCTCTGATCTCTCTCTGGTCTCTCTCTGGTCTTTCTGGTCTCTCTCTCTGGTCTCTCTCTCTGGTCCCAGTTTCTCTCAAATGGAAGGTAATATTCAATAGATCAGACAGACGGGCCTTAATTACAGAATAAACACATTACCAGTCGATGCTTGTGCAGACTTAATGAGCTGGTCTCCGTGGTGACAGCGCCCCCCCCCCCCCCCCCCCCCCCGCCCCCTTCTCTGTGGAGCTGGTGTCACATGTGTTGTGCAGGCGACTTAATCCGATGTGTGCCCAGCCTTTGACCCGGAACCTGTTCTGTTCAATTAACACCACCCGCTCGTACCCATGTCCCCTCTGCACGGTCACGCCCCCTCTGCACGGCTTTGACTTTCAGGCCACAATAATAGAACTCTGTAATGTTTCTAGTTCTGACTCTGAAACAGGTTGTTCAGACCAGAGAGAGACCAGAGAGAGACCAGAGAGAAAGACCAGAGAGAGACCAGAGAGAGACCAGAGAGAAAGACCAGAGAGAGACCAGAGAGAAAGACCAGAGAGAGACCAGAGAGAGACCAGAGAGAAAGACCAGAGAGAGACCAGAGAGAGACCAGAGAGAAAGACCAGAGAGAGACCAGAGAGAGACCAGAGAGAGACCAGAGAGAGACCAGAGAGAAAGACCAGAGAGAGACCAGAGAGAGACCAGAGAGAAAGACCAGAGAGAGACCAGAGAGAAAGACCAGAGAGAGACCAGAGAGAAAGACCAGAGAGAGAGACCAGAGAGAGACCAGAGAGAGAGAACAGAGAAGGAGGGGGTAAAAATTGGTATTGATTCTGTAGTATCTGCTCTTACATTTACATGTGAATGTTTACATGGAGACAGGACCAAGACTATGTTTAGATTTCACATCTGCGTTATCCCAACAATATACAATACCGTCACAAAGAGCCCGGCTCTGCCATTCCAACCATGTATGACAACATGTGTGTATGACAACATGTGTGTATGACAACATGTGTGTATGACAACATGTATGTATGACGACATGTGTGTATGACAACATGTGTGTTTGACAACATGTGTGTTTGACAACATGCGCGTATGACAACATGTATGTATGACAACATGTGTGTATGACAACATGTGTGTATGACAACATGTGTGTATGACAACATGTATGTATGACAACATGTGTTTGACAACATGTGCGTATGACAACATGTATGTTTGACAACATGTGTGTATGACAACATGTGTGTATGACAACATGTGTGTATGACAACATGTATGTATGACAACATGTATGTTTGACAACATGTGTGTATGACAACATGTGTGTATGACAACATGTGTGTATGACAACATGTATGTATGACAACATGTGTGTATGACAACATGTGCGTATGACAACATGTATGTATGACAACATGTGTGTATGACAACATGTATGTATGACAACATGTGTGTATGACAACATGTGTGTATGACAACATGTTTGTATGACAACATGTGTGTATGACAACATGTTTGTATGACAACATGTGTGTATGACAACATGTATGACAACATGTGCGTATGACAACATGTGTGTATGACAACATGTATGTTTGACAACATGTGTGTATGACAACATGTGTGTATGACAACATGTGTGTATGACAACATGTGTGTATGACAACATGTATGTATGACAACATGTGTGTATGACAATATGTATGTATGACAACATGTGCGTATGACAACATGTGCGTATGACAACATGTGTGTATGACAACATGTATGTATGACAACATGTGTGTATGACAATATGTATGTATGACAACATGTGCGTATGACAACATGTATGTATGACAACATGTGTGTATGACAACATGTGTGTATGACAACATGTATGTATGACAACCATAGACTGTATATATTAACGGACTTAGTCACGCCTATCTCCGCAGTTATAACTAATGGGCCAAAAATTGGGCTCTCATGGAGTAATTCAAAATGGCCGCGGTGGCTGGAAAATGTGAAAAAAACATATCTGTGCATGTGTCAGCTGCACGAGCTCCATTCATTTAAACAAGAGACTTCAAAAATTCACAGCGAGTAAACTAGAACAAATGTATGAACATATATGACTCATGTATTCTGTGTTAAGTCATTAAACTAATGATTAATCCAGAGTCAATCCTTTCTTCTCTCGGCAAAACATACAACAATTCTCTCCCATATTTTCTGGGTTTGTGACGTCTCACCTGCGGTTGGTGTATTAACAGTGCATTTTTGTTGTATTTTTGTTGTATTATCAGTGTACTTTTGGGGTTTTTTCAGTGTATTTTTGGTGAATTATTGGTATATTTTCAGTGTATTATTGGCGTATTTTCAGTGTATTTTGTGTGTATTTTCAGTGTATTTTTGGTGTATTTTTCCACAAATGTCAATAATTGAGACTTTTTGTGGCACCCGAGCTCCAGACGTGGTTTTGAGATGTGTTCATTTGTAAACAGTGATTTCCTCTGGGACTGAGGGGGGGTCAGATTAAAGCTGCGGAACGTAAACCACGTAAACACGGGTCACAGAGGCGTGTCCGTGTAGAACACATGTTTAAAGCTGAGGACGTCACTTTGGTCTCATTAATAACAGTTAATTTTTAAAAGAACTAAACTAAAATGTGAACAAATCAGACACAACATGCTGTCTTTATATGAAAGTCATTGGAGTCTGTGCACTGAGAGCTGATTGGCTCAGAGCTGATTGGCTGAGTGAGGGGGTCCTCTCTTTTGTCTGAATAATCTGATGTAAAGACATGAGAGAGACAGAAACACATGATGTAAAAACTGGGATCATGGGTTCATTACAGAGTTCTATTGTTGTGCTCTAAAAGTTACAGACCTCAACTTTAATGTGACAAAAACACATTTTTAATTCATCAGGTCTCGGTCTGAGTCTGAGTGGGACCTGTGCCTCTCATTAGATTCGCCTTAGGGCCCCAGAGGGAGGGGCCACAGAGGAGGGGCCCTGTCATTAAAGTGCTGTTCTGAGAGGGGGGGGGGGTGTTAATAAGGGAACAGCAGCTGAGCCCCTCCCTCCCCTGGGACTGGGGGGGGGAGCGGATACGCTTATTTAATCTCAGAGCAAGTGTCGAGGAGGCCGTCAATCACAGACAGAGACCAGAGAGAGAGACGAGAAGGACCAGAGAAAGACCAGAAAGACACCAGAGAGAGAGACCAGAGAGAGACCAGAGAGAGACCAGAGAAAGACCAGAGAGAGACCAGAGAGAGACCAGAAAGACCAGAGAGAGGCCTGAGAGACCAGAGAGAGAGACCAGAGAGAGAAACCCGAGAGAGACCAGAGAGAGAAACCAGAGAGAGACCAGAGAGAGACCAGAAAGACCAGAGAGAGGCCTGAGAGACACTAGAGAGAGAGACCAGAGAGAGGGACTAGAGAGAGAGACCAGAGAGAGACCAGAGAGAGACCAGAAAGACCAGAGAGAGACCAGAGAGAGGCCTGGGAGAGACTAGAGAGAGAGACCAGAGAGAGAGACCAAAGAGAGACCAGAGAGAGGGACCAGAGAGAGAGACCAGAGAGAGAGACCAGAGAGACACACCAGAGAGTGACCAGAGAGAGGGACCAGAGAGAGGGACCAGAGAGAGACCAGAGAGACACCAGAGAGAGAGACTAGTTTTGTTCTGTTCTGAGTTTGCTGGTACAGTTTCCAGGTCTCTGATGTGGTCTCACCTGCAGATCCGGTCCAGGTTCTGCCGGTCGTCCAGGTCTTGTGGGTAATTTGCCATGTTGTCCCCAAGTTTCAGCAAACAATCCGAGAAACCACGAAAGACCGAGTCGCAATGTCCTGCCCCCATCACCGCCTGGACCAATGAGACTGCAGGAAAACAAAGACAATGGAATGTGAGGTCTTTTCCAGTGAGAGAGAGAGAGAGAGACCAGAGAGAGAGAGATAGACTAGAGAGAGATCATAGAGAGACCAGAGAGAGAGACCAAAGAGAGACCAGAGAGAGGGACCAGAGAGAGAGACCAGAGAGAGACCAGAGAGAGAGAGAGCAGAGAGAGAGAGAGAGAGAGACTAGAGAGATCATAGAGAGATCAGAGAGAGATAGGGAGAGAGACCAGAGAGAGAAACCAGAGAGAGAGAGACGTGCGTCTGGTTGGAGAGGTGTTCTCCACGACGGGCTGGGGTGGTGATGTGAACTGGGTGCTATGAGCTCTGACTGCCACCCCCCGACCCAGAAATGGATTCAGGGGATATATATATATATATATATATATATATATATATATATATATATATATATATATATATATATATATATATATATATATTTGTTGTGTTATATGCAAACACTTTGTAATCCTTGTCATAACTCTGGACCGGTTAATTGCTCGGTTCCTTGGAGTCTCCGCAGATCTTTCCCGCCTTTTCTCTCTGTAACGAACACGTGGAAACCTGCGTCACGTCATCGACACAAAAACTTAAAAAGCATGAGATCTGCGTAAAAACCTGATCTCCATGTTCTGTCCTTCCTCTTGCTCCGCGGAGGAGGAGGAGGAGGAGGAGGAGGGAGTGGGCTTTCCCCTCGTGAACGCGCACCCCCCAAGAGCACGCGCGCTTACGGAGATCCTCGTTTCAGGCACGCGCTTTGGCCCACAATCCACAGAAAGGAAAAATCAGCAGCAGCAGCGGCCTCGGGACCAAAGCGTCAAATATGGACGAAACAAGCATGACGTCATTGTGCCCGCAGGAGGCGCGTGCGTGTGGGAATGAGCCGCGTGTTCGACGTGTCGCATTTTTATGAATGAATTAAACAGATTTATGCTTTGCTTCAAACGCCCCTGAAACGCCTTCAATACACACGTAAATATATATATATTTATACAATTATAGCTCAATATACACACATGTAAATATATATATATATATATATATATATATATATATTACACGTGTGTATATTGAGATTTAATAAAATAAAATAATTAAATTAAATTAAATTTCAAAATACACACATGTGAATATATCTTTATACAATTTATTATCATATATATATTACATGTAATGTAATGTCAATAATAATATAATATTTATAATAGCATTCATAACGATAATCATGTAACACACATTATTAATAATACTATAATAGTGTTTCAAAGGCCGCCGTTATGAACGTGTCTGCGTCTGACCGCGTCACATTGTAACAGTTTCAATCCTGCGTTTGATCCTGAACCTGATCCTCTTTACGCACTCTTTACGCACTCTTTACGCACGCGGTAACGCGACCCAGACGTGCATCGATCGCGGCTTTCGCTTGACATTAATATTTGATGCGCAAAAAGCGAAATGGGCGCGGACGTGAAGCGGACGCGACGCGACAACAGGCGGCAAGACACGTGAATTATTGAAGGGTTTCAGACGCGCGTGTTCCCAGTGCGACAGTCAAATCCTCACGCACGGGCCCAGAACACAGAGACTCAACCTAAACAAGTTCTGAGGAGCAGGAGCCTCCAGACGCGGCGGTTTCGCCACTTTGTTATTTAAACTAAAGGCCCCTTGTCCTGCCACACACCGCTCCATACCGCTCCATACCGCTCCGCACCGCTCCACACCGCTCCACACCGCTCCACACCGCTCCACACCGCTATACACCGCTCTGCTCCGCGGTGTTTGGCCTCAGATCTCATCTTTGGCTGATTCTCACAGACGCAGACTCAAAGGAAAGAGCAATTTTGAGTCTATTGAAACACGCGCTGTTTAAAAAACGGCAGAATCAAGAGTTAAAAAGATTCAGTTTCTCACAGAGATGGAGAGACTCTTCTTCTACACATTTATACATGACGCTGTCTGCACGAATGCGGAGTGAAGAAGAAGCTGGAATACACAGCGTGATGAAGAGTAAAAGAGGCCGTGAAAGCAGAACATTGGTGCTTAGAGGAGGACTGCGGTGTTTGAACTAAAATATATATTTTATTATAAACGCCTCATTATTCCCGTGATACCGTCATAAACCCCGTGAATATTCTATATTGTTGCGCGCCTCGGCTCGTGTGCGCGCCCGCGGGCTGCTGCATTGCTCCCGTTTCTCCCTTCTCCCCCTCACGCACGCGCACTTACCGATCTGCAGCGCACTCACAAGAGCGCGCACGGGTCCCATCCTGCACCGGGGTCAGCGCCACATCGTGAAGCCGAAAATTGAAGCTTCCTGGGCGGGTGCGAAGAGCGCGAGGCCTCGGTGAAAGAGCTTCTTCAAAAAGGGCCTCAAAGGGCCTCCAATCCCACGGGGAGAATCCTGTCTGGATCTGGGGGAGTCCCAGGTTAGACCTGGTTCTAGTCCGCGTCTGGATCCTGGGTTAGACCCGGTTAGACCCCGTTTAGTCCTGCTTTAGTCCTGCTTTAGTCCCGGTCCGTGCGTAATTGTGAGCGAGGACGCGCTCCTCCCTGTGACTCCTTTGGGTGCTATCTCTCTCCACCTCGTGCGCACGCATACGAGGCTCGGGCACGCGCCCTGCACACTCCTCCTTCTCTAGTTTTTATACATTTATTATTGATGAGCAGTGATGGAGCAACAGTACGGTGACGTCATGACGTTTATTCACAAATGTTACTCACGTTACGTCATGTTTCTGACGTTTATTCCAAGATTAGACTTTTCTTTATCGTCCTCATGCAGGAGAAATGTCAGTGTCATCGTTAGAGAAGGAAATAACATTATAATAATAATATTATAAATAAGACTCGGACGCACACATCAGAGTCTATAATCTAAGATCTTTAATAACATAATTTACAGATGTGTTTATTGTTCTTTAGCAGAGAATCTGAGCAGAATAAACATCAGTAATAATATCAGTAAAGTGACTGTGACAGACCTATCATATGGATGTTAATAATGCAGCAATAATACAGTAATAATGCAGTAATAATACAGTAATAATGCAGTAATAATACAGTAATAATGCCGTAATAATGCAGTATCCATCCATCCATCCATTTTCTACCCTTTAATCCATTTCTGGGTCAGGGGGGTGGCAGTCAGAGATGCCACCCAAGTCTCATAGCACCAGCCCCTCACTGACCCTCTGCAGGTGGTGAGTCCACAGGAGGACGGCTGCTCTCTGAGTGTGAGCATAGCCTTGATCTTTCAGTGGGGGCTTTGGGCAAAGTGGGGTTAAGTGTCTTGCCCAAGGACACAACGACAGCAGTCATCAGTGGGAGTCGGTGAAGAAGGTGTAGAGGTGGGAATTGAACCCACGACCTTCAGGCCTGAAGGCCAATGCTCTACCAACTGAGCTACTGTCGCTGGGTGCGTGTGCGTAGGTGTGTGTCTGTCGCCAATAATGCAGTAATAATATCAGTAATAATGCAGTAATAATATCAGTAATAATGCAGTAATACTGCAGTAATAATATCAGTAATAATGCTGTAATAATGCAATAATAATATCAGTAATAATGCAGTAATAATGCAGTAATAATATCAGTAATAATATTAGTAATAATTCAGTAATAATGCAGTATTAATAACAATAGGTAAAGTGACTAATTAATTGTTATCAGTGACACAGAGTCAGCAGTTATTGTTATACATTCTCGTTGTACAGTCTGACAGCAGCAGGAAGGACGGACCTGCAGAACCTCTCCTTCACACAGTGAGGGTGAATAAGTCTGTCACTGAAGCTGCTCTCCAGAGCAGACAGAGTGTCCTGCAGGGGGCGACCGTCATGGTCCACATAGATGTTAGTTTGTCCAGGACCCTCCTGTCCCCCACCTGCTGCACTGTGTCCAGGGAACAGCCCAGGACTGAGCTGGACTTCCTGATGTTCCAGCTTCTTCCCTCTCTGTGATGATTTTGAGTCAAAAACACTGAGGAGTCAAAGGTCAGTCTTTACAGTGAGGCCGACCTCAGAGAGCAGTGGCTAGTTCTGGAAGTAATTACTGTAAAATAACCTTTTCTCTGCTTGTGTCCTAAATACGCACACACAGATTAGATAGACTTTATTGATCTCACACTGGACAAATGTACATCTGGCATGGACAGAAACACTCAAGATTGTGCAAAAGAAAGAAATGTGCAACATGTTAAATGCAGGATATGTTATGTACAATAACAAAGTGTCAATAGTAGTGCAGGTTTTTCAGTCTGTCGGGGGCGACAGTAGCTCAGTTGGTGGAGCATTGGCCTTTGGGCCCAAAGGTAGTGGGTTCGAGCCCACCACGGGACCTTCTCCACCGATGCCTGCTGTTGTTGTGTCCTTGGGCAAGACACTTAACCCACTTAGCCTATAAGGAGCGTGGATATGATGTTCGCTGCATGCCTTGATGTGTATGTGTATATATGTATGTACTATATGTGTATGCATCAAACTGAAATTTCCCCATTGTGGGACGAATAAAGGACCATCTTCTTCTTCTTAATGCAAGTGACTTAAAGTGACTTATTGTACAGTCTGACAGCAGTGGGGATGAAGGCCCTGTGGTAGCGCTCCTTCTTCCACTGAAGGAGCTCCTCAGCTCCTCTACAGTCCTGTGCAGTGGGAGGTGTTGTCCATGATGGAGGTGACTTTGACTAGCACCTCCTGTCCCTCACCTCCTCCACAGAGTCCAGGGGCCTCCTGTCCCTCACCTCCTCCACAGAGTCCAGGGGCCTCCTGTCCCTCACCTCCTCCACAGAGTCCAGGGGCCTCTTGTCCCTCACCTCCTCCACAGAGTCCAGGGGCCTCCTGTCCCTCACCTCCTCCACAGAGTCCAGGGGCCTCCTGTCCCTCACCTCCTCCACAGAGTCCAGGGGCCTCCTGTCCCTCACCTCCTCCACAGAGTCCAGGGGCCTCCTGTCCCTCACCTCCTCCACAGAGTCCAGGGGCAGGCCCAGAGTGGAGCTGGCCCTCCTGAACAGCTTGTTCAGTCTGCTCCTGTCCCGCTCTGTGCTGCCCGGGGCCCAGCACACGGCAGCTGTTAGGGTTAGGGTTGATTACCATCTCCTTGTCTTACTGGTGTTAGCACAGGTACCATCTCCTTGGTCTTACTGGTGTTAGCACAGGTACCATCTCCTTGGTCTTACTGGTGTTAGCACAGGTACCATCTCCTTGGTCTTACTGGTGTTAGCACAGTAAGTAAGTAAGTAGTAAGTAATCTTTATTTATATACCGCCTTTTCACTGCACATCGGAGTCTCAAAGCGGTTTACAATTGTTATTTTTTTTTTTGGGAGTGCCAGTACAGGAGGCACATGCCAGACCTATTGTACATATTTTTAGTGGTAGGGGAAACCGGAGCACCCGGAGGAAACCTACGCAGACGCGGGGAGAACATGCAAACTCCACTCAGAAAGGCCCTGGTCGGGCCTGGCCGGGATTCGAACCCAGGACCTTCTTGCTGAGAGGCGAGAGTGCTATCCACTCAGCCACCGTGCCGCGGCTGAGGTACCATCTCCTTGTCTTACTGGTGTTAGCACAGGTACCATCTCCTTGTCTTACTGGTGTTAGCACAGGTACCATCTCCTTGTCTTACTGGTGTTAGCACAGGTACCATCTCCTTGGTCTTACTGGTGTTAGCACAGGTACCATCTCCTTGGTCTTACTGATGTTAGCACAGGTACCATCTCCTTGTCTTACTGTTGTTAGCACAGGTACCAGCTCCTTGGTCTTACTGATGTTAGCACAGGTACCATCTCCTTGTCTTACTGTTGTTAGCACAGGTACCATCTCCTTGTCTTACTGGTGTTAGCACAGGTACCATCTCCTTGGTCTTACTGGTGTTAGCACAGGTACCATCTCCTTGGTCTTACTGGTGTTAGCACAGGTACCATCTCCTTGGTCTTACTGGTGTTAGCACAGGTACCATCTCTTTGGTCTTACTGGTGTTAGCACAGGTACCATCTCCTTGTCTTACTGGTGTTAGCACAGGTACCATCTCTTTGGTCTTACTGGTGTTAGCACAGGTACCATCTCCTTGTCTTACTGGTGTTAGCACAGGTACCATCTCCTTGGTCTTACTGGTGTTCAAGCACAAGTGGTTGCGCTCGCACCAGTCGATAAAGTCTGTGATAACCGACCGATATTCCAGTGGTTCTCCTCAGACACACAGCCCACGAGGGCGGAGTCGTGGGAGAACTTCTGCAGGTGACAGCTGTGTGTGTCGTGTGTGAAGTCTGAGGTGTAGATGGTGAAGAGAAACGGTGAGAGGACAGGGCCCTGAGGGGCCCCAGTGCCCTGAGGGGCCCCAGTGCTGCAGACTACCACCTCAGACTCACAGCTGCAGCCGCACGTACTGTGGTCGGTCTGAGAGGTAGTTGATGGTCCATGCAGTGAGGTAGTTGATGGTCCATGCAGTGAGGTAGTTGATGGTCCATGCAGAGAGGTAGTTGATGGTCCATGCAGTGAGGTAGTTGATGGTCCATGCAGAGAGGTAGTTGATGGTCCATGCAGAGAGGTAGTTGATGGTCCATGCAGAGAGGTAGTTGATGGTCCATGCAGAGAGGTAGTTGATGGTCCATGCAGTGAGGTAGTTGATGGTCCATGCAGTGAGGTAGTTGATGGTCCATGCAGTGAGGTAGTTGATGGTCCATGCAGAGAGGTAGTTGATGGTCCATGCAGTGAGGTAGTTGATGGTCCATGCAGAGAGGTAGTTGATGGTCCATGCAGTGAGGTAGTTGATGGTCCATGCAGTGAGGTAGTTGATGGTCCATGCAGAGAGGTAGTTGATGGTCCATGCAGTGAGGCTACTGTCCACTCCTGGTCCTCCATCTTCCCCTGCAGCAGTGCCGGTCTAATGGTGTTGAAAGCACTGGAGAAGTCAAAAAACATGACCCTCACAGCGCCCCCTGCAGGCTCCAGGTGGGAGAGCATCCGCTGCAGGAAGTATGACGGCATCCTCTACTCCGATGTTGGGTCTGTAGGTGAACTGCAGCGGGTCCAGGGTGGGGCTGACCACGGAGCGGAGATGGGTGAGGATGAGCCGCTCCATGGTCTTCATCAGGTGGGAGGTCAGTGCTCCATGGTCTTCATCAGGTGGGAGGTCAGTGCTCCATGGTCTTAATCAGGTGAGGGGTCAGTGCGACTGGTCTAGTGAGCCGGTTCCTTGGCGTGCGCTGTTTTAGGAACCGGGATCACACAGGAGGTCTTCCACAGGACAGGGACCTTCTCCAGGCTGAGGCTCAGGTTGTACATGTAGCTGAGGACCCCAGGTCGTCAGCAGCCTGGGACTGATCCCGTCCGGTCCTGCGGATTTCCTCTGCTTCAGTTGCTGGAGCTGACTCCTCACCTGGTCCGGTGTGATGCAGAGGGGGGGGGACCGGGGTGTACTGTCAGAGGTGGGGGCTGGGAATGTGGGGGCAGGAGGGCCCGGGGCAGCCGAAGGCATTGTCCACTGGGCTGGGGACGTGTGAAGAGGTGGGGGCGGGAGGGGGGGCAGATGGAGAGGGGGGAGAATCAAACCGGTTGAAATACTGGTTAAATTCATCCGCCCGGTGCTGGTCTCCATCCGCTGTCCCTCTGGCACTCTGTCCAAAGCCAGAGATGTTCTTTAGGCCTCTCCACACGTCGCGGGCGTTTCCCTGGGCCAGCTTCTGCTCCAGCTTTTTTCCATAGTCCTTCTTGGCCCTCCTGATCCTCCACTGGAGCTCGTGCTGGATCCTCTGCTCCTCTTTGTCCCCTGAGATGAAAGCCCTTGTCTTGAGGTTCAGGAGGGCTTTAAGCTCAGGGGTCACCCATGGGTGGTTTGTGGAGAAGCACCGTACCATAGTCGGTACAGTGTTACTTAATTAAAGAAAAATTATACAAAAACAAATCTACAAGAAATAAATAGAGAAAGGTCAGAAGAGGAGAGAGCCGCAGTGAACAGCTGCACAGCGGGGGGCACCGGAAGATAGACACACACAGAGACACACACAGACACACACAGAGAGACACACACAAAGATATAGACCCACACAGAGACACACACAAAGATATAGACACACACAGAGACACACACAAAGATATAGACACACACACACAAAGATATACACACACACAGAGACACACAAAGATATAGACACACACAGAGACACACACAAAGATATAGACACACAGAGAGACACACACACAGAGACACACACAGAAAGAGAAAGACACATACAAAGAGATAGATACACACAGAGACACACACAAAGGGATAGACACACAGAGACACACACAGAGAGACACACACACACGCATACAGATATACACAGAGACACATGTACGTAGATACAAACATATACACGCACACACACACACAAACACACACAGATATACACAGAGACACATGTGCATAGATACGCAAATACACACAGACATACACACACACACACACACACAAATGCTCTCGAGTCGGTTTGACATAAATCTGCTGCACACACAAAACACACTTCTGTTTTATTCAAAATAGGTTATGTGTGTATCTATTTGTAAGTGTCTGTGTGTGTGTGTGTGTGTGTGTGTATGTATGCGTGTGTGTCTGTGTGTGTGTGTCTGTGTACGTATGTGTGTGTGTCTGTGTGCCTGTGCATATGTGTTTGTGTGTGTGTCCATGTGCGTGTGCGTATGTGTGTGTGTGTGTGTCTGTGTCTGTATGTCTGTGTGTGTCTGTGTGCGTATTTGTGTGTGTGCGTGTGTCTGTGTGCGTGTGCGTATGTGTGTGTCTGTGTGTGTCTATATGCGTGTGCGTATGTGTGTGTCTGTGTGTGTCTATATGCGTGTGCGTATGTGTGTGTGTGTGTAAGTGTGTGTGTGCGTGTGTGTCTGTGTGTGTGTGTGTGCGTGTGTGTGTCTGTGTGTGTGTGTGTCTGTGTGTGTTATTTAGACTAAAGTTACAGACCTCAGCTTTAAATAAGGTTGAGTCGCTCTGATCTAAAAGCACTTCTGTAAAAAAGTTTCACTATTTAAGAAAAATTACAAAACCAAAAAGGGAAGTGGGGAAGTATTTAAGACCAGGACTGATCCAGGACTCACTCATCCAGGACTCATCCAGGACTGATTCAGGACTCACTGATCCAGGACTCATCCAGGACTGATCCAGGACTCATCCAGGACTGAACCAGGACTCATCCAGGACTGAACCAGGACTCATCCAGGACTCATCCAGAACTGAACCACGACTCATCCAGGACTGAACCAGAACTCATCCAGGACTCATCCAGGACTCATCCAGGACTCATCCAGGACTGAACCAGACTCCCTTCATCTCCGCGGTAAGAACACTTTTCCACTTATTACTGATTGTCGTATCCATTTAGATTATGACTAGAGAGAGACCAGAGAGAGACCAGAGAGAGAGAGACCAGAGAGAGACCAGAGAGAGAGACCAGAGAGAGACCAGAGATAGAGACCAGAGAGAGACCAGAGAGAGACCAGAGAGAGAGACCAGTGAGAGACCAGAGAGAGACCAGAGAGAGACCAGAGATAGAGACCAGAGAGAGAGACCAGAGAGAGACCAGAGAGAGAGACCAGAGTGAGAGATCAGAGAGAGAGACCAGAGAGAGACCAGAGAGAGACCAAAGACAGAGACCAGAGATAGAGACCAGAGAGAGAGACCAGAGAGAGACCAGAGATAGAGACCAGAGATAGAGACCAGAGAGAGACCAGAGAGAGACCAGAGAGAGAGACCAGACAGAGACCAGAGAGCGAGACCAGAGAGAGACCAGAGAGAGACCAGAGAGAGAGACCAGAGAGAGACCAGAGAGAGACCAGAGAGAGAGACCAGACAGAGACCAGAGAGAGAGACCAGAGAGAGAGACCAGACAGAGACCAGAGAGCGAGACCAGAGAGAGACCTTCGTCTTCGTAGAGGACTGTAGGGGGCAGTGTGGGTGTTGGGACTGGGTCTTCGTAGAGGACTGTAGGGGGCAGTGTGGGTGTTGGGATTGGGCCAGATTGTGTCTGATTTGTTCAACTTTTAACTTTGACACCAACGACATGTTCCTAAAGTCACGCACCCGAGCTTTAAACACATCTGCTCTCCTCTCCACAGATCTGAGCTTCAGAGCCATGGCGCGCTTCACCCACCGGGTCTGACCCCGCCCCCTCTGCCTGAACACACTCTTCTCAAACTTGTTACAATACAGCCACACAGTTGTACTACTACTGCAACTACTACTACTACTACTACTACTACTACAACTACTGCTTATGCTACTACTGCTACTACTGCTACTACTGCTACTACTACTGCTACTACTACTACTACTACTACTACTACTACTACTACTACTCATGCTGCTACTACTACTACTACTACTACTACTGTTACTACTACTGCTTATGCTACTACTTCCATTACTAACCCAATCTGAAGAGACCAAGACAGAAACATTGATGCATGAAATAGAGGAGAAACAAGAGCAAGGGCAGGAGCCAGAGCAGGAGCCAGGGCAGGAGCCAGGGCAAGAGCCAGGGCAGGAGCCAGGGCAAGAGCCAGGGCAGGAGCCAGGGCAGGAGCCAAGGCAAGAGCCAGGGCAGGAGCTGAGGAGGTGCTGAGGAGGTGGTGGGTGTTAAGAGCCTCAGGAAGCACTGATTATCAGGAAGTGGCTGCTTTTAAACTGCCCGCTTCTGTCAGTGGGTTGGCAAGAGGCTGGAAATTATTTTTCTTCTTATTCTTCTTCTTTTTCTTCTTCCCTCTGGTCTCTCTCAGGTCTCTTTCTGGTCTCTCTCTGGTATCTCTCTGGTCACTCTCTGGTCTCTATGGTCTCTCAGGTCTCTCTCTGGTCTCTGTCTCTGGTCTCTCTCTCTGGTCTCTCTCTGGTCTCTCTCTCTCTGGTCTCTCTCTCTGGTCTCTCTCTGGTCTCTGTCTCTGGTCTCTCTCTCTGGTATCTCTCTGGTCTCTCTCTGGTCTCTCTCTCTGGTCTCTCTCTGGTCTCGCTCTCTGGTATCTCTCTGGTCTCTCTCTGGTCTCTGTCTATGGTCTCTCTCTGGTCTCTCTCTCTGGTCTCTGTCTCTGGTCTCTCTCTCTGGTATCTCTCTCTGGTATCTCTCTGGTCTCTGTCTCTGGTATCTCTCTGGTCTCTCTCGGGTCTCTCTTCTTCTTCTTCTTAAACATGAGACTTTGTTGTGCGACACTTTTAGAACAGTGTGTGTGTTGTTTGTGTTGCTGTGTTTCAGACGGACTACAACAACCTCGGATCTGAGGACGTAGACCTGGACTTTGAACAGTACAATGACGAAGGAGCAGCTGATCCTGATGACCCC